GTCAAGAATTATTTGTTTAGTAGAAGAAATTCAGGGATTTTATGTTTTGTCAGGGAAAATGGAAAGGTGGATCATTTTATTTGTAGTAGACGTGATACAGTCCCAGAGAAATGGAAAGTAGAGATAACATAAGTGAAAATGAAAATGTAAGTCAGGGTGAATTCAAAAGTTCAACTAATTATCAGGGAAAATGGGAATGATCATTTATAGAGCATATAGAAAAGCTTAAAGAAACCCCAATGGTATACACTGATCCCAGAAGAAGTTATTGTTTTAAGACAGGTATGAAACAGTTTTGATATATGTAAGTTTAATATTGTGAAACCTTTGTTTCACTTGTTTGATTCCTTAATACTTACAATAAGATACATGATTACAACGCATAATTGAAAATTTCAGGGATATATTTTGCATAGTGTTAACTCAAATGTTTAGTTGTTTAACTGAAATTTGTGATTGCTGTTTGTCCACAAAAGGCCTTTTGTAGGTCAAGATAGGTGACAAAATCTTCATCAAATTTTCTGGTATTTTCATCACAATACGTGTATTTGAACCACTTCTTGATGTGTGTAATACAAACATTTTTTTCGAGCTTGTGCACAGATGTGTGTTTCAACATGCTAACATTTTTAATGAATGTTTCCTTGTGTGTCAGAATTTAAAATTTTACGTGAGTGCAGTGTCACTTGGTTGTTTAAATATTTTAAAGCCACTTTCAAATTTGGTTTGTCTAGAAGTGATGTTTTCTAGATGGTGTCTTAACAGTAAATATTTTTGTCCACAAAGTTGATGTTTTTACAGTCAAGAATTTCAATCTGCAGGGACCATGTCTGAGACTGATATTTGCAATTACTAAACTATCAAATATACTGTTCAAAACACGTCAAGCATATCACAGCTGGAAGGCTTTGTGTTGCTATGCCAACCAGGTATGTCAGATTATCTAGCGTAAAATGGGCGTTCTTCAGTTATTTTTTTATAGTATAAACATGCCTTAGAATCAAAGAAGTGAAACAGAATTTCAAAATGTTGTATTTGACATGAAAAAAACAACATGAAGTAAAATATTGCTGATCAATTTTTGACATGGCCCCTAGTCTTGCCACAATGTGTTGTAAAATGTATTAAATATATATTCAAATTATTTTAGTCAAGCCAGGTTACATGTGTATACAACCTATAGCAGATGGGGAATATATAGATTATTAACACATATCTTAAACGGGACCATTCTTCCTCCCTATCTTCCATATTGGTGCATGTATCTTCCCATGAAAACCTTGTAAGCTCTACCATACTGCCTGATTGGATCATTTGTAATAGTCTGTGGCCATAGCAAATTAATTATCGGTACTTGTTTTACGAATCTGTTTGAGTGCACAATTAAAAATGTTAGACTAACAAATGATAGGGACAAGATGTAGCATGGGTGAAACTGAAGATATGTTTATTATTACTATACTGGTACCCAGGGCACAAGTATAATTTAGTTCAAAATACAGGTGCTTTTTTTTAGGTGACTTAAAGATATGATAAAACATTTGGTGTTCCATAAAACACATTCTGTGTTCTCACTGATCAAGCATCCTGCTGTTTTTACAAGACAATGCCAGGCTCAAGAAGGAAACATAATTTTTTTAGTGGTATTCCATGGTAGAGTATTGGCAGTTACCTTTCCTTGGGAAATGTCATTGATTTGGTATGGCCTTGAGTTTCATTCAAATTAGAACTGATTTCTTTTGAATGTTCCTGATTTGTATAATTGTTATCTTAATGAAGGTAAAATTGTATTATTAACCTTATTTTTATTTATTGTACAAGTCCGTAAAGCAATTGCAATTCAGACGAGCACATAGAACAATTTGTAAGAACACATTATCTTTTCTGAAGTCATTGATTGAATGCCTCATAATGTATGACCCATTCTATTTGAGGTTTCAAAAAACTCATGTCAATAGAAGTCAATCACATATTGCCATGTTTACTTACGATGTATTTGAATTTTATGGAATTTCCCAAGTTTATTTCATCATCTGTTTGAAATTTTCAAGTGTCTTCAGAAATAAGTGTTGTCTGTGAGGTGAAGTGCCTTGGAAAGATATGACAAATCTGTGTATAGTCTACATACATTAATCAATTTTATATTTGAAAATATGAAACATATGAGTTTTTACATATTGTACCAAAAAGTAGTTCTTTTTGTATTCAAAACAAATTAATAATTTAAAGGGTTTTTTTTTTTCTCACACATGATCTCTCTCAGTAATGTTCTGAAAACAAAATATACAGCCTGTGGGTGGTCTTGTAGCCTTGTGGTCGATATATTCGGACATCATGATGAAGGTGTAGCTTCAATTCCTCACCATTTTTGGTGTGCCCGTCTGTCATATTGCTGGAATGCTCATGAAGTGGCATACATCCAGACTCACACCTTAGAGAACAGTCCTGTTGCTCATAAAGTCGTAAACTCAAATTTCTATACTGATCTTGTTTTATATCATTCAGTATAAAGACATTCTACCTTATTTGTTTCTGATGGGATAATCAAAGGTTTAAAGTTTAATACAGCAGAAAGGTAAGGGAGTTAAGTGTTTCCTTACACAAGATGTTCACCATTAAGGTATAATTCAGTTGGAAATATTTACAAAATTTTGTTTCCAAAATTCTGATGATCAATTTCCCCTGTTTATGGTAGCCAGGTGATAAGCCACTACTTAATATGCAGAGTGAGTGTGTGAGTTTGGTGTTACGCTGCTTTTAGCAATATTCCAGCAATATCATGGTGGGGGACACCAGAAATGGACTTCAAACATTGTATCTATGTGGGGAATCGAACCTAGATCTTTGGCGTGATGAGCGAACTCTTTAACCACTTGGCTACCCTACTGCACCTGCTGAGTTACATCTACTAGCTTTGTCAGGAAATCAGTTCATGGATTCACCCAATACTGAATCTTGGTCCATCAGCAACAAAGTGGCTGGCTGCAATGATGTCAGATTGAGCTTCTCTCACTTCTGTGAATGTGGTACAACTAAAACATTGTTGAAAGCTCATTTTGTTTATTTCAAAGTCTATTCCTCCCTTCTGAATTTCTACTTCAACAAAGATTGTTCAAATTCCCAACTGACCAGCATTCCTCCTGAGATGCCCCAAACTTACATGCTTGTCGTCCAATTTTGTATCAATTTGTTTCTAAAGTATCATTCCAAAATTTGTTGTTTTCCTTCGTTTAAGGTGAAAACAGTTAAGTAAAATACTTGGTTTCATGATTACCCTTCATTGAGAGGGCACTGGTAGCTGTCTTAAAGAGTTATGTCCCTTTGGAGAGCCAGCAACCTGTGAGTTCTTGAGTTGGATTCCCAGATCGTATCTAGGTTTGTAAGCTTTATTCATGGCCCCTTGGTTTACAAGAAGTGATAAATGTGGTAGACGTGTATCACTTTGGGCTTTCCTTCCATATCAAGCTGTTAGGCCGGGATATATCTGAATTATCATTCAAAGCTGTAAGCCCAACTCACTCACTCAAGCATGAAATGCTGTAGTTACCTCCATTTGGCTGGTGTATTTTATGTTAATTCAAATCCTAGATAATAAAACCATTTTTCTCCAGAGTTACATGGCAGACCAGATTTTGGTAGTTTGACATCTTTAAATAAGCTGTTTTATCAGGCAAAATCCTTTTCTTCACATGTCTAAGGTTACATTTATTAACAGTTACATAATTGATTCACATACCGTGGGACAGGTCAGCTCAACAGCAGCAGATGTGTTAGGTATCCTCTTTCAGGGCTGATGATCTTAGCTCATATCTCAAACCATGAATATATCAGAAATCATTGTGAGACAGTAGTGTCCATCCAGGATCCACTTTCACAGAGCAATGTTTGAATTCCAGTTTCAGCTAGCCTGTGCTCAGGTTGCTGTGACAAGACACTGGTTGTCTCTTCTCACCAGTCCTTGCACACTGACTAATGTAGGTTTTACAAATCATTATGGAAGTTATGAAGATTTGTACTTGTGTCCGGACCTTGGTCAGGTGTTCCTGTGGACTACTTCACTGTATCATGTTGTCCAAGTGATGGGCCAGATTAACAGGATTACAGTTTTCTACATTTGTACTACAGACATAGCTAGCTGGACATGTACATCAGGACAGTGTAAGCCTTGACACAAATAAATTGTATATCGAAACATGGACTTGTTCTTTCTACCGTGTAAGTTCCTCAGTAAGTCTACATGAGAGAGAAATGATATCAGGGTATGAAGACACAGTCTGGCATGATATCAGGGTATGATGGCACAGTCTGGCATGATATCAGGGTATGATGACAGTCTGGCATGATATCAGGGTATGATGGCACAGTCTGGCATGATATCAGGGTATGATGGCACAGTCTGGCATGATATCAGGGTATGATGGCCTATTGCAATGAACTCTTACTTCATATTTAAGAGGGTCGGCGGGGTAGTTATCTTTAAGACGGGGTAGTGGTCGCTCATCACTCTGATGACCCAGGTTCAGTTTCCCTCATGTGTGAAGCCTATTTCTGGTGTCTGCTGATGTGATATTGCTAAAAGCGACAAAGCTAAACTCGCTCATATTTAAAGGCACCTTACACCTTGATGAGGTGAAATTGGGTTGGACATTGTATTCAAGTCATGACATGGATGTTTGTGACTGCTTAACCAGCCTACTACTGTTGCATGAATGTCACAGGCAAAAAACTGTGTTGAACGCGGATGTGTTTAACTTAAAGGGTTTTTTCAAACAAAAAACTTGGTGCATGATATTTTTTTCTTTATTCATTATGTTTCAGTTGTGTCCGACCTTGGAGGTGAGGTGAAATTGGGTTTAACGTCGTGCTTGAGAATATTTCGCTCATATGATGACGCCGACCTTGGATAACTCAGAAGTATTAATGTTGACCCTTCAACTTCCACACAACAATGTTTGACTACATGTACTACATCAAACAAACAGAAACAATGCTGTTTTTCGACAACTTTATTAGCAAAACAGGATGGATGCCATTTGTTCTTATTCTTCAGTTTGGCCAACTGAAATGCTGGACTTCAAGCTCCTCTAGATGTCTAGCTTGAGAGTATCTACACAGACTTGTATACATACTGGTATTTGGTTGGAGGATGAAATTAAAATGAGAATCATGGTTTTGTGTAGTAATCTCTCAAGTTCTAGAAACAGTATTTTCAGAAGTTTATAAATAAAATGTGGACATCTGTGGTCAAATACATTTAAAACATAACATTCAATCAACAACTGGTTGGAATGCTGTAGACATCTCCATAGCACTGACGCACACAGCTCATTTACTCTCTTACACAATATAGTCGAGCGTTTTTGATCAGACAGTTGATAGATGCAACACGCTGAATATGGTTCTGGAGGAAGTGACCAACTCAGGATTGCAGAATCGTATTTTATGAGGTTCACCAGCCGTATACATAAATATTATAATACTAGTTTTTCTGCCATTTGATTTTGAGAACATATCTTGGATGCTAAAACAGATACTGAGGACTAATTTGGTACAAACCCTTGGGTTTTATCTGGTACGAAACTTTGAATCATATCATATACCTTTTAGGCCTGACGTAGTACCAACTATCAGGTCCGATCCAGTACTGACTATCAGGTCCAATCCAGTACTGACTATCAGGTCTGATCCAGTACTGACTATCAGGTCCGATCCAGTACTGACTATCAGGTCTGATCCAGTACTGACTATCAGGCCTGACGTAGTACAACTATCAGGTCTGATCCAGTACTGACTATCAGGTCTGATCCAGTACTGACTATCAAGTACTGACTATCAGGTCTGATCCAGTACCAACCATCAGGTCTGATCCAGTACCAACCATCAGGTCTGATCCAGTACTATCAGGTCTGATCCAGTACCGACTATCAGGTCTGATGCAGTACCGACTATCAGGTCCGATCCAGTACCAACTATCAGGTCTGATCCAGTACCGACTATCAGGTCCGATCCAGTACCAACTATCAGGTCTGATCCAGTACCGACTATCAGGTCCAATCCAGTACTGACGATCAGGTCTGATCCAGTACCGTCTATCAGGTCCGATCCAGTACCAACTATCAGGTCTGATCCAGTACTGACTATCAGGTCTGATCCAGTACTGACTATCAGGTCTGATCCAGTACCAACCATCAGGTCTGAACCAGTACTGACTATCAGGTCTGATCCAGTACCAACTATCAGGTCTGATCCAGTACTGACTATCAGGTCTGATCCAGTACCAACCATCAGGTCTGATCCAGTACTGACTATCAGGTCTGATCCAGTACCAACTATCAGGTCTGATCCAGTACCAACCATCAGGTCTGATCCAGTACTAACTATCAGGTCCGATCCAGTACCAACTATCAGGTCTGATCCAGTACTGACTATCAGGTCCGATCCAGTACTATCAGGTCTGATCCAGTACCGACTATCAGGTCTGATCCAGTACCAACTATCAGGTCTGATCCAGTACCAACTATCAGGTCTGATCCAGTACCGACCATCAGGTCTGATCCAGTACTGACTATCAGGTCTGATCCAGTACCAACTATCAGGTCTGATCCAGTACCAACCATCAGGTCTGATCCAGTACTGACTATCAGGTCCGATCCAGTACCAACTATCAGGTCCGATCCAGTACCAACCATCAGGTCTGATCCAGTACTGACTATCAGGTCTGATCCAGTACCAACTATCAGGTCTGATCCAGTACTGACTATCAGGTCCGATCCAGTACTATCAGGTCTGATCCAGTACCGACTATCAGGTCCAATCCAGTACTGACTATCAGGTCCAATCCAGTACCGACTATCAGGACTGATCCAGTACCAACTATCAGGTCCAATCCAGTACCAACCATCAGGCCTGGACCCAGCACTCAGATATGATCTGCTACCAACCTGCCCTCAATCTTTTCAGAAAGATACCCATATACATTACCCCATATCTACCTACTTCAAGATGTCCAGAAGTATCCCGAAAACTAAAACAAGCAGAGAAGCCACCTGCATGAGATGCATCTGAGAGTGGGCATGACATGATATGTGAAATCAACACATGGAAATAGACAATCACAGAATGATGGCAAACAGTCAATATGTACACAACTAACATGGGGGAAACAAGAGGCTTATTATCACATTGTTGATTACTAGATGACTAACTTGGACTCTGATAACCTGTTCTAGCAATACAAATTCAGTCACCTCACTTCATATCAGTACCTACTAATGTAGCTGTTTCTATGAAATGAAGATATACTACTCAAAAGTAGTTTAGGACCACTTGCTATTTATATACGACCACAGTGAATCTGCATCATGTATGTGATCCTTACATTCTTTTGAGCAGTATTGTGACATTTTACACAAACTCAGGTACTGTATCTTAGTCAGAATTCTGTTTGTGACTATAGTAAAAATATTTAAAAAATTAAGATAACTTAAGGAGCATCCATTTGATTTCTTGGCAAGGTGGGCAGAAGAAATCGTTAAGAGAGGCTTTTTCAATAAATAGTTTGTTTTAGAAATATGCCCCAAATGACGTTGGCAGTGCTGATGAAAGATAAATAGTTTGTTTAAGGCAAAATGCCTAATCCTTAAACTTTTATGTTAATGGTGAATATATTTCCGACGGACCACAATATCTAAATAGTTTGTTCCCCCAAATATGTAAGTCCACCTCCTACAAATCAAATGGATGCTCTCTCACTATCACATAAAGTTTACCAATAATCATAAGTTTCTAAAGTTTTGTGAAATATACTTTCTCATGTTGTAACTAAACAAAACGAAACAAAATCCCTTGATTACAACATAAGGTTTCTGTTTCTAATCTGTTCCGCAATACCAAAGGCACTGATCTGCTCTAACACAAAGTATGTACATATCAAACACAAGCAAACATAATAAATATCACAGTATTCACAGCACTTCGAGGCGAGGGTACCATCCACGCTGTGGCAATGTCAGGCTGAAGTCTGCATGGGAGTGAGAAACCTCTCTAAAATCAGATCCCAGTTTTCTGTACTGCTTAAGGTCAGGTCTGAACGACATTTTGCAAATACTGACCAACCAATGAAATAACATGCAAGAATTTGACTATCAGAAAGCTGCTTCCTCAAGCTTTACTGTGCAAGGTTTAAACTGCCATCTTCTATTCAGATTTGAATACTAAACAAATGAAGCTTCTGGAATGTCTAACAGATGGTCTAGATTGTATGATATACCTCCTACTGGCTGCGGAAATTGTCTTCTGTTTCTGATATTTGTGAAATTTAGGTGACAGACAATGAGGCCTACAGCCTGTAACTGTGGTTTGGAATTTCCTCTGTAATGTTTTCAAGTTTGTATGATTAGAAAACACAAACTGACTTCTTTTCCGAAATGGCAAGCCATGCTCTCAATGGTTTAATGACTGGTCATTCTGATGGACACATCCATAGCTCTATGTTTAGCTGTCACAAGAACTAAGATCTGATTTTAAGGAGATTGATGAGAGAGAGTTATAATGTTACAATCATTGAAAAGCATTGATCACAACCTGCCAACTTTAGCTGGAGGAAAGTCACATATTCCAACTGAAACTAACTCACTGCTCTCAGACATTGCCACTACAGATCTGTAGATGTGAATAAGTAACTGTCAACCATTCTGTCACCATGACAACCAGGTCAAACAGGAACTGATAAACTGAACAAATACCAAAAGTGACAAGCATTAGTTTCTGTAGTTTAAGAGAATCAGAGAAGTTTTAGTTTGATCTCATACACTCTGACCATTCACAACACAAGGTCAAGGACAAAACTGCCAACTCAGCAACTGCATCTCTTTCGATTTTTGTCCATGTTTTACAATTCATTAAGATGAAACTAAACATTAGAAATAAAGTATGCTCTTTGAAAACTTATCACACATGCTAGTCATATATAAAACTCAAAGTCTTCAGAAAGAAATATAAGGATCACTGACAAGATATATCAATTTCAATGAAAATATATAGAATTTCCCCAAGCTTTCTCCAAGTTTGAAAACTTTGCAGTTCCAGTTGGTCAAGAATTTCCCTATGCCAAAATATCCCCTGATTGGGCAATACGTTATCTGTACTTGAATGACGGCAAGAACATGAGTTTCAAAGTGAACAAAATCCCATCAGGTCAATGTCTGATGTGTTCATTACACTGTAAGTATATTTTGGGGGTTATACTTGGTGATAACATAAAACACTTTCATCCCTTTGAAAAATACTGAACATGCCATATACTTGAGGTGAGTTAAATATCAGAGAGGTTACACATTGAAGTACCATTAATACAAGATTGAACACTACCTGATGCTGGTCCCATACATTGGCTATATGTAATATTACCCTCTATTTTATGTGTTTTTTGTATCTCGCTGGACTTCTCAATATTCTAGCAATACGACAGCGTCTGTAAATAATCAAATCTGGACCAGATGATCCAGTGACTGAGTGAGTGAGTTTAGTTTCACGTCACACTCAGCATTATTACAGCTATATGGCGGTGGTCTCTAATTAATCAAGTCTGGACCAGACAATCCAGTGACCGACATCATGAGCATCCCAACTGAGATACATGCATCAATGTCAGAGAACTTGATAACCTGAACCCATTAGTTGCCTCTTATCACAAGCATGAGTTTGTGAAGACAACTCTTTAGTAGTATATATGGAATGGCAGTGTGGAATCGTTTCCTAACTTCACTCTCATTGTATATGATATGTAACAGTTACAGTATACAGCACTTTAAGTTAAAGATATTGACCAATGAGAGATCACCATTTGATAACATTTATATATCATGTTGAACATACTGAGGAGAGTACAGTAGGAATATATCGTGTATAATACAAGATGTTCGTACATAAAATAGATAACTCATGACGAAATACCAGCAGGACATAATATACTACTGTACGAAAACATATTTTTGTCATTCACTGTTTGCAGTAGTGTTATGTTTTATAGCTGTAACGTCACTCGTCACATGACACAATAAAATCATCCATACTGTCAACTCAAAATATGCAGGCAATGGCAAGTATTTTGAATGCTAATCCACCTTTTCCAGTAATATTCCGTCAATACTTTCGTATTCGCTTTCATTATTCTATGTCATAAAAATATGCTAATAGGAACAATTACATGTATTGTTAGTAATTGTTAGTAAACTTACCTCTGGATTATATTAGCCTTATTCCTGTGGATTCACAGAATACATACAGAAAATCAAAATAAATTTTAACACTAAGTCATAGCTATTCCTAGTGCTATACCTAATCTACCCCTGAGTTATCTCCCTTGATCCTGACGTCACTGTATTGTTCTCCTAGAACCCTTCATAACTTTTCTCTATGGTCCACACGCATGATGTGCAGAGAATCGAGTGAAATTTTCATTTCAAATCAAGTCTTCAATTCAATTATCTCGACAGGACAGAGTGATCTGGACCGAATGGACTCTCAAGGAAGAGGCATTCGATTTGATAGGACAGTAGTGGGAAATTCCAATCATAGATGTTTTTGCGACTTCCAGGAATTTTCGGATACCAATGTTTGTGAGTCCAGTACCGGATCCATTGGCATGGGCAGTCGACACCTTATCCATATCATGGGAGGGGATGACAGCCTATGCGTTTCCTCCGTTCAAACTAATCCCAGAGGTTCTGTTAAAAATTCAACAACACGACTGTCTAGTTTATCTAGAGGCACCAGCTTAGGGCATTCTGATGACGATGAATGTTTACGCTTCCTAACTAAGGAAAGAGATATGTCCATCAACAACCAATCTTCTTCCGACATTTCCTGACACAATAAGCATCGATCCGATATTGAGCAAGGTAAGACTTTATAATAGAAAGCACACAGAGAGTGGGGATCAACATCCGCCATGAATTTCTGACATTGTAAACATTTGCTCTGTGCCATACTTGTCAATCAAAAAGGGCGGGAAAACTTCAGATCCTAAATACGTTGGAAATATATATAATATAAATGCAAAACAGCAATGCGATTGAATATTAAATGGAATGCAATTTGTAACTGACCTATATATGAAGAATTGAAGACTTGATTTGAAATGAAAATTTCACTCGATTCTCTGCACATCATGCGTGTGGACCATACAGAAAAATTATGAAGGGCTCTAGGAGAACAATACAGTGACGTCAGGATCAAGGGAGATAACTCAGGGATAGATTAGGTATACCACTAGGAATAGCTATGACTTAGTGTTAAACTTTCTTTTGACTTTCTGTATGTATTCTGTGAATCCACAGGAATAAGGCTACCATAATCCAGGGGGAATGTTTACGTTATAATTATTTTATTTTTCTGTTCCAAGTGACCTTGACAAATACTACAGCCAGTGGATGATATGTCGGTGAAATATTCATGATGCTGATGATGCTTCATACTTTTGGGGGGGCGGACTGTACCTAAAAGCTTTCAGACATATATACTGAACTAATTAAACAAGGCTATTCAAAGTCAGGATTCACCGCAGGAAGTTCCGGTTTGATTCCGAGCATAACCTCCCCTGCCCCCATGGCAACATGATATAGCCTTGTATATGGTCCACTGTAGTGATGTTGTCCGAGATGGCACATGCTGAATGTAGCGACGACGTCAAGGATGCAGAAGATACATCCGAGGCTGACATCATACAACAGATGGGTCATCTGGGGGTTCAGGTCTGAAAAGAGATGAAGATAAACTTGTCAGCAGATTAGGTTCTTCAGAGGCATTTAGAAGTTAGTATTCAAGTCAGAGGCCCATAAGCTGCTTATCCGGGTAAAATACGCATAGAAAATTTCCAATTACGCATTGAAAAATAATTGTTTGCGCACCAATTATGCATTTAAAATGTTAGATACACAAAAAGTTTAAAACAAATACGTACAGAATATATTTATAAAAATCGCTTGCGTAATGAAAAAGACATCGATTGCTATCAAGTTGTACTGTTAGTATAGGACAAGTGTTGTACTGTCAGTATAGGATGAGTGATTTTTTATGAAATCATTTCCATTATATTTAAGTTGGTTTTGATTAGGTATGATATAAGGCAGAACATACCTGCTTAGTAAACTTACTCAGTCACATAATACTTAGGTGAGTAAAATGACTGATATACGCACATATTTGAAAGCAGTGGGTAATGGAAAATGATATACCAACTCAACATTCATAATACCCACTCCCGAAAAATACAGTGGGTACAGTACCCACATGAGCTAAATCTTATCTGGAGCTCTGCAAGTAATACCCCAGGGCCTAGATTTTCGAAGCTCTCTTAGCACCAAGATATTCGTAAGTTAATGTTAATGTATGGCACTTATGACCATCTTAGCACTAAGAGAGCTTCGAAAATTTAGGCCAAGACACGTTGTGACATACAATAAAGAGGAAGCTGTTATCCATAATATTTGCCTTTTACTTGACAGCAGATTTATATCCAGGAATCATTTCCGCCAGACAACGGTACAAGAATCTGTACCGAAATGTCTCACTCCAACAAATAACAGAAGTTGTTATCAATTGTTTGATGGCATACTAGAAGTTGGGGAGTCAAAAATGAACCTACCACTTATTGGATGACAACTTCTTGTTTATTGCCTAGAGGGACGTTTCGATGTAGATTGTTACACCATTATCAAGATAAAAGCTAAAAGCTTGAAAACAGTCTAGGAATCTACATCGAAACGTCACTCTATGATTTCAGTCAATTCCCAAAACTATTGTAAAGTTGCAGCCACTCACCTATCTTTGCTGACGTTCTGTGTACTGAACTCTACTTGAGGTCCTGCTCCTCCTGACGCGAGTTCCCATTGGGAGCAAGTCGTCCCTCGTTCTGGTTACTGGCTCCGTCTAAATGGTCCGGAGTGTTGCTGTCTGGTGAGGGTGGCGCATTTGTCCATCTTCTCCATCTTGCTCTTCAGGTAGTTGAACGACCAGTTGTGACTGGACACTGAAACGATGAAAACATTTAGTACTATAGCTTTGTCTTTTTGGTAAAGATTCTTAGACTGATGTCAAGCAAGAGAAATGTCGCATAACAATACAAGAGTCATCAGAAGATGACGTATCCCCCCGGCCCCCACAAATTTGAAAGAACAAATCATCTGACAGTTACTTAAAGTCCAGCTTGACTTTTTTTTAAACTAAGTCCAAATCATTTCAATGGAAATCATGAGAAATATAAATGCCAAAAATCTGTAAATAGCAAAAGGCACCATTTCAACATTTGCCTAATATATCTGCCAAGTTCTGTTGAAAGATACTGAACGCTTTTCGAGTTGTGCACCGGAAATGAAGCCACCCCTCCCTTTTGGGACTAAGTCCCGAATCGTTTCCATGGAAACCGAGAAAATAATAAATCACAAAAAGCTGCAAATAGCAAAAGGCACCACTTTGGCATCTGCCTCACATATCTGCCAATTTTTGTTGAAAAATATTGAAAGGTTTTGGAGTTATGCTCTGGAAACAAAATGATTACGGACGGACAAACGACGAGGCGACGACTATATCCCCCGCATTACATGCCGTGGGGATAAAAACAAACAAATTGTCATTCATAAAAATACCTTGAATTAAATGAAAGCTGCCTGTGAATAATCAAGTGTGGACTGACAAACCAGGATTGAATCTGTGAGCCACAATCCATGCCCAGGACAATACGAAATCAGGGACATCAATCCCTGCCGTTTTCATCCAGAAGGGAAACAGTGGTCACTTAGCAAGAATGGTCTATTTTGTTTCAGCTTATATATGGAGTAACTAAGACCTAGATTTATGATCCAGTACTTTGTCTATGACTTTCTAGCCATTAGTTGAACAGGTCAGTACCAGGATTACCTGTGTCTTTTGTACTTGAGATCCCCTTGATTGAACGCCACCTTCCTCTTGTCCCCCTTGTCACTCTCAGGTTTACTGAAACCATTATGTCAGTGACTGTGAGAGGGAGTGACAGAGTAACAGAGTGACTGGATAGGTTTAAGAGTGGGTAAAGTTGTCATTTGAGAGAGTGGTGGAGTCTGTGCTTATTTGGATAGGTATGAGTGGGTGGATGTGTGGGTGGTTGAGTGAATGAGTGGTTGATTGAGCAGTTGAGTTGTTGAGTTAGTTGTTGAGTGAGTGGTTGAGTGAGTGGTTGAGTGGTTAAGTGAGCGGTTGAGTGGTTGAGTGAGTGGTTGAGTGAGTGGTTGAGTGAGTGGTTGAGTGATTGGTTGAGTGGTTGAGTGAGTGGTTGAGTGAGTGGTGAGAGAGCGGTTGAGTGAGGGGTTGAGAGACTGGTTGAGAGACTGGTTGAGAGAGCGGTTGAGTGAGTGGTTGAGTGAGCTGTTGAGTGAGGGGTTGAGTGAGGGGTTGAGTGAAGCGGTTGAGTGAGTGGATGAGAGACTGGTTGAGAGGCGGTTGAGTGAGGGGTTGAGAGTGTGGTTGAGTGGAGTGAGGTTGAGTGAGAGGGTTGAGTGAGTGGTTGAGTGAGTGGTTGAGAGACTGGTTGAGGAGAGTGCGGTTGAGTGAGTGGTTGAGTGAGCTAGTTGAGTGAGGGTTGAGTGAGCTGTTGAGTAGAGGGTTGAGTGGCGGTTGAGTGAGGGTTGAGTGGCGTGAGTGAGGGGTTGAGTGAGTGGTTGAGAGTGGTTGAGAGTGGCGGTTGAGTGAGGGGTTGAGAGAGTGGTTGAGAGAGAGTGGTTGAGTGAGTGGTTGAGTGGCCGGTTGAGTGAGTGGTTGAGTGAGGGGTTGAGTGAGGTTGAGTGAAGCAGTTGAGTGAGGTGAGTGTGTGAATTGAGTGAGGGTGGAGTGTAGTGGTTGAGAGCAGTTGAGTGGCGGTTGAGTGAGAAGTTGAGTGGCGTGAGTGAGGGTGGAGTGTGTGGTTGAGTGGCGGTTGAGTGTGTGGTTGAGAGAGTGGTTAGAGAGAGTGGTTGAGAGAGTGGTTGAGAGAGCTGTTGAGTGAGTGGTTGAGAGAGTTGGTTGAGTGAGTGGTTGAGAAGTGGTTGAGTGAGAGTGGTTGAGAGAGTGGTTGAGAGTGAGCGGTTGAGTGAGCGGTTGAGTGAGTGGTTGAGTGAGTTTGGTTCACTACTGCTTTCAGCAGCATCAAATTACTTACACCACATGATCAGCACAATACACATCAGATGACATTTGGAGATGTCTATTTCTAATTCCAACAAATTTTTAAGGTCTTAATATTGAACCAAAATAAAAAGAATTTCGAAAAACACCCTAAATTGTGTGAAGAACATGAGTTCGCTGGGCTGGCAGATTCACTCACCTGACCTCTGGAATTTTTGGGGTAGATTAATGAACTCAAGTATAAGTCAGGTCTGATTTTTTAGCTCCATTTTCTGGTACCAAATTTCTGACTTATAGTCGGTCATATACGGTATTAGGTATTGAACCCTTCACGGTAACAGGTGAAAAAATCAAAAGTACCACAGATAGTACAGATATACTATTATATGGCCTATGATTTACTGCTACAGATACGTTTTTAATATGACCATGATGTATAGGGTTATGGTTTTCTCTACCTGGATCTTGTATTGGCTGCTCCTGTTCTGTCCAGGCAGAGAGTCAGTTCTGGCAGGTTACTCTCTTCCAGGGTAAAGTCAGCCAGATTGAGAGACAGGGACTCATCTGTGAAACACAAATACTACATCAACCACATCCCACAATATCAACTATCAACTAAAGTGTGCACAGCTGACTGCTCTTTCCAAATTACACAGTTTCATCGAAGAAATAAGGAGTCATTCACTGAAACCAAACAGCATTGCATCTTGTGACGCGCCGTGGGTGACGGCAGGAGTGTTGAGATCTACAGCTGAACCCAGAAGAGAGTCTTCAATCTTCTCCTTCTTGTCAGGGATGTTGCTCCCAGAGTCTGGCCGGGACACTGTCTTCTCGTCTAATGAGTTCCGCAGTGGCTGCACTATAGCACTCAGTGGGTTTTTGCTCTTCTTGGCTGAAACAACAGTGAAGACAGTGTAACCTCATCGTGGCTCGCTCGTCACGCTGAAGACCCGGGTTCGATTCCCCAGATGGGGTCCAACAAGTGAAGCCCATTTCTGGTTAAAGGGCTTATATTCATGACTTCAACTTCAAATACTTTAATAGAAAATACAGTTACAGTAGCATCTATTTAAAACGTTTTGATTCTTTGAAACAGTCATTATGATTTTCAATATAAGGGACCGTTTATAATTTAAGGATAGGGGTGTGATGATGATTTTAAGGGGATGGGGTGGGTCACCCATTTGGCTCTGGGGAGGTACCAATTCTATACACAAGTACTGTGAGGAAACAATTTTGTACATTTAAATATTTGAGAAATATGCTTAAATATTAGGGGTGGGGGTGGTGGGGGTTAGGTTCATTGACTTTGTACATGACATGCAGGGGTGGGGGTGGGGGGCAGGGATGGGGTGTCCCTCGCTTTGTGCATGAATTTTAGGGGGGTCATTCACATTGTACATGTTTTTCCATAAAAATCATCATCACCCCTCTAGCCATAAATTATGAATGGTCCCTAAGAATGAAAAGGATTCAGGAGTATCGATAGAGCATTCATGCAGTATGTTTTGAAAGGTGGACCCTTCACCTATGGAATCATGCTCACAAATTGTTGACACCTATATGTGTTGGGGATGACCTCCACCTGATTTATTCATCTTGTGTAACAAGCACCAACCTGATCTGTACTTCTTGGCTTCAGTTTCGCTGGTGACAGCGGAGTTGGCGACAGCGATGGTGGTGGCAGCGAGCTCGGAGAACCTGGCATGGATGTGCTCCAGCATGTCGTCCGTTGTCGGAGTGGAGTCGCCTAGCAATGGCTGCTTGTCCTTACGGCTCCCTTTGTTTTTGTTCTCATCCTTTGAAAGATTCGTCAGATTCCACTCAGCCTGGATTCCCTCCAGGAGATTCTGCACTGACCGGGGACTGTCTGCCAGTCCATCTGTAGGGGGAGCATGTCAATTTACAATCATTCAAGACAAAGGGGCACATTATTACACAAAACAGTCTTTTCAAAATTGACACATAAAGATCCAGGTTAGAATTATCTTCAGTAACCCATGCTTGTCGTACGAGGAATCGGGTGGTCCGGCTTGCTGGCTTGGTTGACACATGTCATCGTATCCCAGTTGCGTAGAACGATGCTCATGCTGTTGATCACTGGATTGTCTCGTCCAGACTCAATTATTTACAGACCGTCGCCATATAGCAAGAATATTGCTGAGTGTGGTGTAAAGCCAAACTCACACACTCATTATGCATTAGCAGCAAACTAGACCTTTTGATATATATTTAGCCATGTCACACATTGTGTGAAAGACAAAGTAGCTGTTTCATATAATTTGGAATTTGTTTTTATTGTTCATAGAGTAATCTGCAATCTGTAGTTTTCCAGCCATGTGGTGGAGACTTGTCTTGATCAGACAATCAAGTGCCTGGCATCATGAGAAATGACCCATACTATTGACATATAAAGGACCATGAATGGATAGTAAGGCTCTCACGAGTACTCGGGTACTCAGGGTCGAGTCGGGTAAAGCAGGACTTGAGACCAATTGAAGGGACGCGAGGACTCACGGGGGGGAGATAACTCTAAACGTCTCACGCAATCAAGATGGATGATCGTGAGAAAAAGATCCAATGTCTGGACGCATTTTGATCTTGATTTAGTGGCCAAAATACGGAATGCTGTCTTTGTGGCATTTCCCTTAGTTACGGAGGTAGTACAACAAGTTCCATGAGCAAGCATTTGTCCTGCAAGCACCCACAAATAAGCACTGTAGACAGAAAACCAGCTCAGCAAGCAACGCTGGGGTAGTTTGGTAATTTTGACAGCAAAAGTCGCAAGCCTGTTGACAGGAAATGGTATGAAGGTATTACGCAAAAATGTAATTTTTGGAGTAAAATTGATACTTTATACTTATCCTGACTCATGCTCTTTTTGCTTGTCTTCTTCTTCTTGCGAACATAGTGGAACACTTGTATCTCCCTAATTGAAGCTCCCTTCAATTTAAAATCACTAATTAGTATTCACCACGAGTTACCTCCTTTCCACAAGCGCGGGAACGAGGGCGCCACCTCTACCCATGTGCCTCACTCTCTCCTCATATACTGAGCCCAACATTTGAATTTACAGGGAAATCCAAAGTGTTATTTGGGGAGGATGGGAGGGCTGACCTCATGAGTCAGGATAAGTATAAAATATCAATTTTACTCTAAAAATTACATATTTTTCCTTATCCTGACTCATGCTCTCTTGCTTGTAGCATCCTACGGGCCGGAGGTGGGAATATCTAATACTTTGGATTTTTAATAATTAGTGATTTGAACTGTGATGATTGTAATAACCCTATGGGAACTTCATAAAGGCACTGAACTGATGAATTCCTGCTGCTAACTTATCAGCTGCCATATAAAAGGTTATTACCATGTACTTATTATGATAAAGTATATATAACATTAATACAATGCTTAAGACTAATAGACTTAAGCTTGTTAATATGCTAGTATAAACTCCTTAGAGTTTGTTAGCTAAAATACTTTAAGATATAACATAGTACTAAGCTTAAGATATGATTAAACTTAAGCTAATTATATAATAGCAAACTCTTTAGAGTTTGTTAGTTAATATACTTATATGATATAGATATAATGCTGAGCTTAAGATATGAATAAGCTTTAGCTACATATATAATAGCAAAAACTCTGTAGAGTTTGTTAGTTAATATATTTTTATAATATGAGTATAGTACTGTGCTTAAGCTATAATTAACTTAAGCTACATATATAATAGCCAAACTCTGTAGAGTTTGTTAGCTAATATATTTTTATAATATGAGTATAGTACTGTGCTTAAGCTATAATTAACTTAAGCTACATATATAATAGCCAAACTCTGTAGAGTTTGTTAGCTAATATATATTTATAATATTAGTATAGTACTGAGCTTAAGATATAATTAACTTAAGCTACATATATATAGCAAAACTCTGTAGGGTTTTGTTAGCTAATATATTTTTACAATATGAGTATAGTAGTGTGCTTAAGATATAATTAACTTAAGCTACATATATAATAGCAAAACTCCGTTAGAGTTTGTTAGCTAATATATTTTACAATATGAGTATAGTAGTGTGCTTAAGATATAATGAACTTAAGCTACATATATAATAGCAAAACTCCGTAGAGTTTGTTAGCTAATATATTTTACCATATGAGTATAGTATTGTGCTTAAGATATTATTAACTTAAGCTACATATATAATAGCCAAAAACTCTGTAGAGTTTATTAGCTAATATGTTTATAGTGTAACCATAGTACTAAGCTTAAGATAAGATTAGACTTAAGCTAAATGTATATAGCAAAATAAACTCCTTAGAGTTTATTAACTAATATACTTTTTATGTTAAAAACATAGTACTGAGCTTAAGTTATGATGAAACTTAAGCTATATATATGTAATAACAAAACTCCGTCGGGTTTTGTTAGCTAATACCTTTATAATGTAAACATACTGCTTAAGATATGATGAAAACTTAAGCTAATTGTATAATAGCGAAAACAACCCTTTAGAGTTTGTTAGCTATGATATAAACCTAGTATTGAGCTTATGAAGGAAAACTTAAGCTACATGATGAAACTTAAGCGAAATATATAATAGCAAAACCCTCTTTTAGAGTTTTGATAGCTAATATACCTATATGATATAAACATAGTACTGCGCTTAAGATATGAATAAGCTTAAGTTACATATATAATAGCTAAAACTCTGTAGAGTTTGTTAGCTAATACATGTTATAATATAACCATATTGCTTAGAAATATGATGATACTTAAGCCAAATAGCAAAAAACTCTTTAGAGTTTGTTAGCTAATCTACTTATATGATATAAACATAGTACTAAGCTTAAGATATGAATAAGCTTAAGCTACCTATATAATAGCAAAACTCCTTAGAGTTTGTTAGCCAATATATTTTAATAATATGAGGTATAGTACTATGCTTAAGGTATAATTAGCTTAAGTTACCTATATAATAGTAAAACTCCGTAGAGTTTGTTAGCTTAATTAACTTTAAGCTATGTATAAAATAGCCAAAAACTCTGTAGAGTTTGTTAGCTAATGCATTTATCATGTAACCATGAGTATTACTCTTAAGATATGAATAACTTAAGGTAAATATATATAATAACAAACTCTGTAGAGTTGTTAACTTATATATTGTATGATGTAATAATCATAGTACTGTGATGATAAAAGGAACTTAAGTAAATTATATATAGCATGAAGCTATTTAGTATTGTTATAAGATAAGTAAAAATCTGTTAGATTGACTTATCTTCTCGAGGAACTGTCAGCTGTTGTGCGAGGACCATGGGATCGAATTGGTGTATACCTGAGGCGTCCTCGGTGGTGATATCTCTCAGATAATGGTTTGCAACCACCATATCGGATTTCAGAAATAAACCCTCCATTATTTCAATCACATTTGTGTAGAAAAATTGTAGAAGTTAAGCTATAATATCATGAGTATTAAGCTCATGGAGGGTAGGAATAGAGTCCATCCGCATATGCCGTAGTATGACAGTTCTGATCAAATGGAGATATAATACATGAGACTTCACTCTCGTAAGTTGATGATAGAGAAAATAATCTGTTGCATTTTTTCCTCCTGTTTGGTTTTGGTGGAGATAAATTTACAGTGCTCTTGCTGGCCATCTTGATAGAATCATCGTATCATGGGGTCCAAGTATGTCATCATCAGGCGTGTTCATAAACCTCACTTGTGAGGTGTTGGAGCACTATATTCATATCCCCAGGTTGGGCGTGAAATTTCCGTTTTATTCTCCAAACAGAAGTTTAGTAGGTTTACTAACCATCTAGTTGTGTTAATTAAGCGATGAAATTCAGCTGTAGTCTGAAGCGCTGTGGATTTAGATCCACTTGTATCTTTTCGTCTAGGTAATTAAGCTGCGAAGTCCTTGATGATGTAGGTGCACAACCAGGTGTGTCTGTCCTCGTTGAACTTTATGTAAAATCAGCCTGACTGCCGATCCCTCGTCTTAACTTGACGGGGAGGTCTCTAATGAAAAAGGCAGTCTAATCATGAATGTTCAGGTTAACTGGACTGTAATGAGGCTTGCTTTCGTTCACTGATATATAGTTGTCACTTGTGGCGTAAGTCTTGAACTGTGAATAGAGATCGACCTCTGTGTGGAGTCGTTGTCCCTCCTGTGATCCAATCAGAACAAGGCATTTTGATTCTGTATAATACCAGCTGTGATGTCACGGTGTGGCGGGAAAAACCCATCTTGAATAAATTCTTGTCGTCGTTGATATTAGCATAAGCGTCGGTCTTCACCGTTAAGCTTCGAAGTTATCCGGAAAGTGACCGTGTTTGAGGGTTAATGGTAACCTTGCGAAACCTCCGGGGTGAAATATCTCGGCTCTGTAATTTTATGCTGGGTAGGTTATTTTCCTGGTTGTCGTGAAAGTAATTTCAGTTTTGAATATAATTCCGACTTCCTTATATATAAGGGTATAAACAACTTGCAAGTTGTGAGCTTGTAGACTGTATACATGAATGTATCGTCATAATTGTAGAATTAACGTTGAACTTGTTGTACATATTTCTTCTCAGAAACTTTGTGATTAAGAGTTATTTCGCTGTAACAAGGCTGCTGTTCAATTTCGATATTGAATTGTCTGCAGATATGCGTAATGGTCGCATGTAGCTAATCGTATCGTCGTCCGGGATTGTATATTAGCAATTTATCTGGAATAGTTGATTTTTGTGAAGATCTATGAAATGTCGTTGACTAATAATACAGCGGCGTTCTGTGTGTTGTAAATAGCCTGAGTAATTATCTTGGCGTAGGCTTATAGGCGGCATCTGGCATACAGTTGATAATCAACTTTGTCGGCGTCTTGAAACGGACTGACGAGTAGCTATATATATGGCCAGTGGCTAGTATATGGAGAAACGGAGGAGACTTCCTCGGTGAGCGCCCGGAGACAGCGAAGTTCGAAGTATCCTTCTAGATCTTCTGGGTGAAGTAGACTTGGAGCCACTTAGCCTTAGCGACCAGCCAGCGAAGGTGTCGAGTCAAAAGCCGATTAGTATATATATATATATATATAAATATATATATGGCTTGCTTATCGCCGTGAACAGCCTCTGTGTTTAACAGGATGTGGGATCGTGGCGCTTGCCTAAATAGGGCGCATGGATCATCTTATCATATTCAGAAGTAGGTATTACGAAGTCTGGTGATAAGTGTCTAATTGATCGTTCTAGATCTATTTAGGCCAGCGAACATCACGTCTCGTCATGGATTCAACAGAACCAATATCGATTGTAGTTCTTATACTTGATATCGATGATCAACTTGTCTATGGGTTGATCTTCACCGGAGACTTGTGAGAGGAACGTTGATAGTTTATGAAGCTCTTGTATAGTCCCTCGATGTCCTTCTAGATGATGATGATCTGGATTCAGGTGTCGCCGGCATGCCCGCCAGCGAAGCTTCTCTGCGTCCGGTCCGGGGAGCAGCGATATGACCTTCAGCGAAGGCTTCCGTGATGTCTGATGGTCGAGTCCACATCTAGGGATGAAACCGCCAAAAGGTGATGATCTATCCTGCCTTGCCAGCGAAGTCCTTAGCGAAGGCTGTACATCTAGGTTCTTTCCGCCGAAGGCTGTACATCTAGGTCCTTTCCGCCTTAGCGAAGGCCTTAAGCCCGAAGCTGTACATCTAGGTCCGCCGTCAAGGTGGTCGTGACTTCCTTAGCGAAGGTGACATCGTCCTGGCTGCTACGTTGACGGGGGGTGCCTCTGGGGTGCTGTCTACGTTGGAGCCTTCGCGAAGGCTCGGACCCTGCTACCGCAGATATTGGTCCTCCATGATGTTCATAATTTGTCCCATCATGTCTTCTGGGATGGTCTGCGACGAGGTCGTCGGTGCTTTATCTGCGTTGTTAATGGAGGGCATGGTGATCTCTGCTGATGTCGTTGTAGCTGTCACCGGTCGTTTCTTGTGGCGTACGTCGGGGATGATGATCAGCTGATCATCGTAGAGTTCCAGGTCATCGGCTGGAACAATCTCGGTTGAGAAAGTCCTAGTAGACTTCGTTGATTTTCCCTCAGAATATCGGCTGCCCTGGGTGTCGCGGCGTCTGCGTTGAGTGTTAGTAAAGATGGGACCCTCAGGGCGATCGCCAGCATATGCGTTGGTACATCAGGCTGCATGCTGATCTGTGCGACATCGGTCAATCTTTGATGTACATCTGGTATGATGACCGGCTGATCATCATACAGGCCCAAACTCGCGATGGGAGCGGTCGGCTGTTGAGATGTAGTAGAAAAACCCTCTAGTCTTCTGCTGCGGCGATGGGATGTCTGGGAAGCAGGATGCTTCTTGGAGATGGCGGATTACGCCCCACACCTCTCCACCACTCTAGCGGAACACCACACGGGAGAAGTCGGCCAACAGCAGTAGACTGGCGAGGGTTCGGTGTATCAGTCATACTAGACTCTGCATCGCAGCGACCTATCTGCTGTGCGTGCCAAGCGCCAAAGTAAATATTAATAAAAGGTAGAATTGGATAAATTAGTACCGCAACTGCAATGTGAATATAATAAACATGGCGCCGTACATCATATTAAAAGCGGATCAGCAGCAGCATAAAAGCGTAATCTGCAATAGTACAGAATTTTCATCAACGTAATCCACTGAAACAAACACGGCGTCCCGTGAATAAACTGTAGAAAAGCGACTAAATATCAATATATAATCGTTGAAGGATACTAGCTAAACCTCTATAGATGTCTATCTACGAGGTAACTAACTAAATATAATTCAAAGGATATAGTGTGTCGGGAGACACAGGCGCTCTCACGTCCAGCTCACTGGGCGAAGAAGGAAAGAGTGGGGCACATGGGTAGAGGTGGCGCCCTCGTTCCCGAGCTTGTGGAAAGGAGGTAACTCGTGGTGAATACTAATTAGTGATTTTAAATTGAAGGGAGCTTCAATTAGGGAGATACAAGTGTTCCACTATGTTCGCAAGAAGAAGAAGACAAGCAAAAAGAGCATGAGTCAGGATAAGGAAAAATAGCAATGCTTATGGGCGTTAAGGATATACGACCATGAAGCCTTTAATTGGACTCGTGAGAGCCCTAATGGATAGAACACTAACATAGATACAACACTACTACACAGTGTACTAATCCCTCCTGAATACCAGGTACAACAAGTCCTGCCTTTTGGTATGGTCTGTTCAACTGTACATGCATGTGAGTGAATTACAGATGGGAGAGAGCACCAGCATATAGGCTGCAAGCTGCTCAAACTGGGTACACAACATGAATGGGTCACAAGGTACTACTAGTGCAACAACTGCTATTGCATGAAATATGAAGCATGGGCTTCTACTGATCATTACACCACAAGGGATAGATAACATGATGTTGCAAACAATTTATCCATTAGGCCACGGGGCAGTCATGTTTACGGTGAGAGAAGTCGATGTAAAATACCAACCTGAACTACCTGAAGCTGACATGGAGGACAGGCCCCATCTGTCCAAGTCTGTTGTGTGGCTTTCTAAAAACTGTAGTAATACTGCTTCATCATCTTGCTTCCTGGAATGGAAAGGAACAGACCTCTTTTTCAGGAACCTAACAAAACACCTGCCAAGGGTAGACAACTGTGGATGAGTTGTCTCCCTTCAATCTCATGACTTCAGACATTAGTTAAGTGAGTGAGTGAGTGAGTTTAGTCTCACGCCGCACTCCACAATATTCCAGCTGTATGGCGGCGGTCTGTAAATAATCGAGTCTGGACAAGACAATCCAGTGATCAATAGCATGAGCATCGATCTGCACATTTGGGAACCGATGACATGTGTAAACCAAGTCAGCAAGCCTGACCACCTGATCCCATTATTCGCCTCTTACGACAAGCATGGGTTACTGAAGATCAATATTCTAACCTTCACAGGTCACATTAGTTAAGGGTTTATACTGACAATGGTAACTCTTCATCACATATGCTACCTATAGTAGATTCATCTGACATTATTATGGGTCAGTAAATACATGGTTACTCCTCCAAGTTATTTCACATAAACTAAGGGGCTGTTTATAAACTGCAAAGGGGGTGGGGTAGAATCCCTTCAATAGAATCCCTTCTTATCAAATTTAACTTTGCTGATAGCCAAATGTTAAAAGTGTTTCCAATGGCAACCCTGCTGCTTAAATATACACATCAAAGTTGCAGGTGGTGGTGGTGGAATTGGGTTTAACGTCGTGCTTGAGAATATTTCACTCATATGACGACGTGCATGCATGTGTATGTGTATGTGCGCCTGCTTGTACTAGCCCAGACTTAAGCTGGTTTGATAGTGCTAACCCACTGAGATACCATGCCGCAGTGAAGCATGAATACCCCACTCAGACACATTATACTGACTCCGAGCCGACCAGTCCTTGTTGTACCCATTAATGCCGAGCGCCAGGCAGGGACCAACAAGTACCATATTTTTTTTTGCCTTTTGGCGACGCCGGGGATCGAACCAGCGCGACCTTCCGCTCTCCGGGCGGACGCTCGAACCCCGAGGCAGTTCAAAGTTGCAGGTAAGACAGTAGGCTCATTTGTTCAGCGTTGTTTGATTGACTAAGGAGAGTTGTTAACACAAGTACAACCCTTGATAACACAGTAGTAGAATCTAACTATTAAACAACTAAATATTTTTCAGCACTTGTCTCCTATTTTCACTCACTTCTCTGGTCCCGACAGGTTGTTTGTACACTTGAGGACAGCGGCTGAGGCGCCAAGACGGTCGAGGTCATTCTCCTCCCAGATCTCAACATCATTGTCAACAGACCTGTCAAGACGATGTCAGAATTTGTCAGGTCTAACACCATTGTTCTTGTTCCATTCATGACAGAGTAAATAAAAAGAAAATGAATATATACAGGCAGCTTTGATAACTCACATGGTTTCCTCGTCAATGTCGTTCTCATCGTTACTGTTGTCAACAGCGATCTCCTGGCCACCATCAGCCTCACTTTCCTCATGGATGTCATCCAGATCGTCAATATCACCTTCACTCAGCCCCTGCAGCAGGTAATACGCACAATGAGAATATTACTTACCGGTGAGATACAGGTAATACAAGAAGACAAAGTCATCAATATCCCCCGGAATGGCAAAATACTCTTCATGATTATGTCTACGAGTTATGATTATGTCAAATATTTAGGTGTGTATATAGAAAAGTGGAAGGAGAGTATTGAAAGGTTTTTAAAGTTCTGCTCCAGAAAATAGCACTATCACCACTTTCAGTCAAAGTGAAACTTGTTGCCAGGGAAACGCCAAAATATTTTATTCAGAATTCCAAAACTACCAAAAGGCACCAGTACACCACCAGATATATGTATGTGCCAAGTTTGGTGAAGAAACATTGAACGGTTTTAGAGTTCTGCTCCGGAAAAGAGCACTACCACTAATTTCAGTTTTAGTCAAACTTGTTGCCATGGAAAAGCCAAAAATATATTATTCAGAAATCCAAAACTACCAAAAGGCACCAGTACACCACCAGATCTATCTATGTGCCAAGTTTGGTGAAGAAATAGTGAACAGTTTTAGAGTTCTGCTCCGGAAAAGACCACTACCACCAATTTCAGTCTAAGTCAAACTTGTTGCCATGGAAATGCCAAAAATATATTATTCAGAAATCCAAAACTACCAAAAGGCACCAGTACACCACCAGATCTATCTATGTGCCAAGTTTGGTGAAGAAATAGTGAACGGTTTTAGAGTTCTTCTCCGGAAATAACCGTGAGTCCGGGTTAGAATATTGGCCTTCAGTAACCCATGCTTGTCGTAAGTGGCGACTAACGGGATCGGGTGGTCAGGCTCGCTGACTTGGTTGACACATGTCATCGGTTCCCAATTGCGCAGATCGATGCTCATGTTGTTGATCACTGGATTGTCTGGTCCAGACTCGATTATTTACAGACCGCCGCCATATAGCTGGAATATTGTTGAGTGCGGCGTAAAACTAAACTCACTCTTCTCCGGAAAAGACAAAAGTGCACAGACGGACGGACGCACCACGCACGCACGGACGGAGTCCATTTTAATACCCCCTGCAAAACGCGTTGCGGGGGATAAAAATAGGTGGGGTGGAACACCGCCCCAAGCGCCTCAGGAGACTTACAGGCCCTGTATTTCACTTATAAAGCAACATGCATGCCTGTACATGTGTGGCTGCTTGTACTAATCTTGACTGGTCTCACTACTGAGATTCAACGCAGCAATTTAACAGAGATATCTCTCTGAGAACAAGGTAATTGCATAGTCCTTGATATATCTCCTTAATGAGGTAAACCACAGAGGATCTTCGTAATAAAATAGATTATTTTAAAATATATACTAAGATTCACCATGTGCAGATCATAAACAAAATATTGTTGTATTCAGGACATGACCAAATAACATTTGATTGTTAAGATTAGAAGCTGTCTCAAAGTCATGAGTATCAAGTTACAGTCAGCACTATTCCAGCCAAACATCCAGTGTATTTGCAGCTTGGGCTGACTTTCTTTCTGAGTGAGTGAGTTTATTTTTACGCCACACTCACCAATATTCCAGCTATATGGCGGCAGTCTGTAAATAATTGAGTCTGGACCAGACAATCCAGTGATCAACATCATGAGCATCGATCTACGCCATTGGGATACAATGACATGTATCAACTAAGTCATCGAGCCTGACCACCCGATCCCGTTAGTCGCCTCTTATGACAAGCATGGGCTACTGAAGATGAATTCTAACCCGGATCTTCAAGGGTGGACTCACTTTCTGATAAGGGTAAAGGTTTCATGCTATATGTGGAATGGTGACGGAGAACAGAAGTTACTGATGTTTCCAGTGACATACAGTGTCCTCTCTCTAGTGCTGGGAATTGGTCAAAATCTCATAATTGATGATTGGTTAATTACAACCGATCAATCATCGAAAATAATTGGTTAGCATCATTTATGAAATTTTCCTGATTATTTTTGTTAATGGACAAAGACAATAAAGAAAAGAAACTGTAGTTCTTTGGTGTTTTTGCAAATTGCACAAAAGGCATTGGCAAATTTCACATCTTTAAAGGATGACTAGTAGGTTAGGACTTTAATTTCTTGGAGTCTTGAAGATAAATTCAACCATGACTTGGAACGAGCTTGTAGTGGTCATGAAATGTAACAGACAAAAGCAACCTTGTGAAAAATATTGTTAATGCAAACAGGTGTTCCAGAATTGTTTGTGTTCGATTATGAGAAAACATGATCGATTGCTTGGTCGTTTAGTCACTGCGACCAATCTTCGATTATTTCAATTAATCGGACCACCACTGCCTCTCTCCCTGGTCATACTGTATAGAGACATATGCTGTTACCTCGTTAGACTCGGTAGAGTCAGTGTCAGACTCCTCCTCATGTTCCAGGTCGGTCTGCTCAACGTCCATCTCCGCGGTGGGGCGGGGGTGTCGAGGCTTCGGGTGGAGCACTGGGTGGTGGGGAGAGGACTGTCAGACTGGGAGATCATCAGGGGAGATTCTACACATAAAACAGGCATGGTTTGAACCAAACGTCGGTGTTACGTCACCACTATTCCAATTCAACACCCTACAGAAGAACTGAACAATATCATAGCAAGAGCACGGGTATGGAATTAACCAAGGACTATGTACAGTAAAGATAAGTGCCTTGTTTTAATTAATTGTGCTGATAACACTGCAGAATAGAAATATCCCAACTACATTGCAGCTGCTGTAAATAACAGATATAGTTCAAAGAGACCAGTGATCCTAAAACAGCACAAGTACTGATGCATTCAACAGGGTACATTTTAGTTTAACTTAGAACCACATTCCACTTGTTTCTTTCTTTGATTTTTCCCATGCATTCAGCTATACAGCTATATGACGGAAATCTGTAAACAACCAGACAACCCAGTGATTCATGTCATGAGCAGAGATCTATGCTTTAAGGCAATCTGGACACTCCATGAACCAAGTCTATGACTACCTATTACGTCGGTATCATGAGCAGAGATCTATGCTGTCAAGCAATCTGGACCCTCCATGAACCAAGTCTATGACTACCTATTACGTCGGTATCATGAGCAGAGATCTATGCTGTCAAGCAATCTGGACACTCCATGAACCAAGTCTATGACTACCTATTACGTTGGTATCATGAGCAGAGATCTATGCTGTCAAGCAATCTGGACACTCCATGAACCAAGTCTATGACTACCTCTTTAAGTCCCCTCCTGTAACAGCAGAGGTTGCTAGGGACCAGCAGGTTTATGTTTAATCAGATCTTATAGCTAAAATACATGGAATTATCATGAAACGGCCCTCCCATTATCTGAAATTTGCGGGCCGCTGCAAATGATATTGGACCGCTCAACCTTAGCAACAGGGCCACTATCAGTTCTGTTGTCAACTGACGTCATAGTGGGTGCGTGGGCTTACGGTTCATTCGACATTAATTGGCTTTCGACTGGCAGATATTCTGGGTCAAACAAGTCAAAGTAACCCGAATTCCCGCTTTAAATAACGGTAATATTGGCTTTTTTTGTTGGTGCTAACCTTAACAATTGCACTATTAAGGCTGTTGATGGACCAAAACCGAACACTGACATAGTTTGACATGTTGCAGGCTATGGTCTTGTCAAAGACCAAGGTCGAATATCGTCACTTTCTGTTGTGACGTCACTTGAATTGTTCGATGACGTAATTGCATTCGGGCAGTCAACCCCGTCAGAAGATGATTTTGGTAAACTTACAGTCAAATTCCTTCATTGTTTCCTTTTTCTTTTCAACACAAATTCCATGTATTTTAGCAATAATAACGGTAATGCTATTTTTGAGGGCATTATCATTTGCAGAAGCCCTCGGTCTTTTTCAACTGTCCTCCTTCGTCGGGCAGTTAATGGAAGACCTCAGGCTTCTGCAAATGATAATGCCCTCAAAAACAGCATTACCCTTATAACAGACAGGAACTTCATCTCCATACCTGCGTTGCCAGTTTTCTTCCCCGTGGAGTTTCTAGACATTTCTAGCAGGAGTCGCTGAAAACAGATGCCCACATTTTGTTGAGGATATGACAGTAGTCTGAGAACTGAAAGTATTTTCTTGATACAAATAGTTGCTTTCATCAAATTCAAATATAATATCCTAGTTTTAGGTGAAAAGGCAAACAGAGGCATTTCCTGTTTTAAATTTTAAAAGGAAGGAGAATTGTTCAAGTAAACATGACCTGGTACTTCAGCGATGATTAACATTTTGAATAAAAAGAAATTTTTGAAGTTGTGACCAAAATTATATTTGATCTTCAACTTGACAACACTGAGACATGGGTGTGTACCTCCTTGAGATCATTGATTTGCTGTATATACTGGGATCCCCGCCACCTCCAGCTGACTGATGTACCTGGGAAGATAGAAATATTATACACATCTGACTACTTCAGCAAACGAAATCTGAATTGTTCAAACTGAGTGAGCAATGTTTATGCCGCTCTGAGCAATATTCTAGCAATATTAAATTGGGGGACACCAGAGTCAGTGAGTTGGGTTTTACGCCACCCTTAGCAATATCCCAGCAATATCACGGCGAGGGATACCAGAAATGGGCTTCACACATTGTACCCATGTGGGGAATCGAACCCGGGTCTTCGGCGTGACAAGCGAATGCTTTAACCACCTAGACTACCCCATCGCCGCGAAGGACACCAGAAATGGGCTTCACTGTAACAATGTTGGGAATTAAACTCAGTCTTTGGCATGATGAGCGAATGCTTTAACTATTAACACTAGTAGGCTACCCCAACACCTTGCTCAAACTAACAGTGAATTATGTAAAGTATCACTATTCCACCAGTAGGACAGCTATTTGCAGTCTTATTCCCACATACCACTGCTGGTCCCTGCTCTTCTGGTAGAAGGTTGGAGGTCGGACCTGGAAGCGGAGGATGAGAGTGTCGTTCTCTGTATCCAGGTAACCCTCACTTGCCAGCAGATCGAGGCGGAAGAATCGGTTGTAGCCCCAGCACTCACCAACTTCAAAGTCGGAGGCAAACTCTCGTACAATGTTCTTGCTTGAGTCTCGAGAAGCCTGGTGCACCATCTCCACTCTGTACTCGTACCTGTGATGGTCAGGACAATGTGTGCTAACAATATCAGGTCACCAACAAAATATAAAAATCCACACATCTAAGTTGGTTGGATGGTTTGTTGTTTAACGCCCAACTCAGAAATATTCCAGCTGTATGGTGGGTGGGTGGGTGGGTGGGTGGGTGGGGGTGGGTGGGTGAGTGAGTGAGTGAGTGAGTGAGTGAGTGAGTGAGTGAGTGAGTGGAGTGAGTGAGTGTGAGTGAGTGAGTGAGTGAGTGAGTGAGTGAGTGAGTGAGTGAGTGAGTGAGTGAGTGAGTGAGGAGGAGAGTGAGTGTGAGTGAGTGAGTGAGTGAGTGAGTGAGTGAGAGTGAGTGAGAGTGAGTGAGTGAGTGAGTGAGTGAGTGAGTGAGTGAGTGAGTGAGTGAGTTTAGTTTTACACCGCTTTTAGCAATATTACAGCAATATCATGGCGGTGGACACCAGAAATGGGCTTCACACATTGTACCCATGCGGGGAATCGAAACCGGGCCTTCGGCGTGACAGGCAAACGCTTTAACCACTAGACTCCCCAACCACCCCAGTGTCAAGTAGCTGCAGTGTTCAGTGTGTTTTATCCATGACCAACCTTGTAACAGTTCCCCTGATCTGTGACCAACATGCTGTAAACACAGGACCACATAAGCCCTTTCTGTTTGACTGACTGACTGAGTTTGGTTTTACGCCGCTTTTAGCAATATTCCAGCAACATCACGGCGAGGGACACCAGAAATGGGCTTCACACATTTTACCCATGTGAGGATTCAAACCCGGGTCTTCGGCGTGACGAGCCAACGCTTTAACCACTAAGCTACCCCACCGCCCCCCCTTTCTGTTTGAGAACATGCAGGTAATATGTAGTGTTACTGCACATGAACACAGTCCAATGCCTCTACGAAGAGGAAGTCAAATAAACTTCCGAACAGCAAAAATACTGTCGTGATGTCTTGTCACCACAAAGTCAAATGCCTCTTGCCATATTTACATGGAAGTTACAAACACTTCCAATTGCAAGACTACAATTCTAGAAGCTATTTCTGAATACCAGCAAGCAGAGGAAAAGTTAAAGTTGTACAACCATCAAGAAAATGAATGCCAATCTGCACTCACTTGGATGTTTCTGGGAGGCCAGCTGACAGCTCTAGGAAGACAGATAGGTAGTTCCCCCTTACAACACCATTACCATCCTAGACAAACACAGAAATAATGCAATAATAATCACTGTTAATATTTCAACGTCGTGCTTGAGAATATTTCGCTCATATGACGACGTGCATGCGTGTGTATGTGTATGTGCAGCTGCTTGTACTAGCTCAGACTTTTTGGAGATACCATGCCGCAGTGAAGCAAGAATACCCACTCAGACACATTATACTGACTCTGAGCCGACCAGTCCTTGTTGTACCCATTAATGCCGAGCGCCAGGCAGGCACCAACAAGTACCATATTTTAACGTGTTTTGGTATGACGCGGTCGGGGGATTCGACCTTCCATGGCTCTCCGGCGGCGCTAACCACTACACCCCGGAGGCGATAATATTTAAAAAAATACTACCTATATTACATCACAGACATACAGAAACACTGCTGCTTTAGCACACTACATTCTTTTAACAGTAAGAATCTCCTTGACACTCCATGCAACATTTATACATGGACAAAGGCTACTCACTGGCGGTATGTTTATATCGAAGAGGCGGATTAGTTTTTGAGTTAATGACTTACCGGGTAGACCTTGAGCCTCCAGCTGAGGCCGGACACGTTGAGTGGGGGGCTGTAGAAGGGGTCGGCTCGCTGCCGCAACACACTGAAGTTCTTCATGGCAAACGTGCTGGTGTCGTACTGAGGGACTATCTCACTGAAACACAAGGATGAGCATGCTCTACTGATGAAGGTAAATGAATCTTCCTTTCATAAGCTCCATGGCTACATTATGGACTGGTGAACACAGCTGCATACAACAACCAGTAAATCTGTTGTGCAATTGTTTCATAGATTCATAATGTGTTAATGAGGGCCATCTGGCAAAGTTTGCAGGTACTGGGGCAGTGAAGATCCCACTGGCCAAAGATGGTTGTGAAAAGTCTCACCTGGTTACCTCATGAACATTATATACCCGGTATTCAACTCTCAGTCAATACACCATTCATTGTACATTTGTTAAAGATAGGTGTTTTTCTGTTAATGTGGGTCGCCTGATAACCGGCGATGGATGTGAAGTGACTCACCTTGTGAAGTCAGCAGGTACAGGGGCAGTGACAAAGGACCCCATGGGCCGGCGATGGACGTGAAGTGACTCACCTTGTGAAGTCAGCAGGTACAGGGGCAGTGACAAAGGACCCCATGGGCCGGCGATGGACGTGAAGTGACTCACCTTGTGAAGTCAGCAGGTACAGGGGCAGTGACAAAGGACCCCATAGGCCGGCAATGGACGTGAAGTGACTCACCTTGTGAAGTCAGCAGGTACAGGGGCAGTGACAAAGGACCCCATGGGCCGGCGATGGACATGACGGAAGAGCTCCAGCAATTCCTTGGTCTCCTGGATGAGCTCACTCTTGCTGCTGATGGTCAGCTTGTGGTTGACCTTCTGGATGACCGACTCCAACATCTCTGTCTCCTGGGACAACTGATTCCGCTGACCTGCAGGAGAGAAGAGTGTGACTCAGTTCACTTGGTCCTTAGGCTATGTCAGTTGGCTGAGACTGTTCAGGTTTACAGCAAAAAAAACAAGTAAACACATTTACAAACAAAAACAAGAACCCACACTTCTCTGTCCAAACTCGTTTCCTTGAGACAAGAACTTTAGTATTTACAGTGACAAGTCTGAACTGAGACAGGTGTCTGGATGAACAAAATCTTTTCTAGCAGTTGTTCTATATGTTTTTATCTCCAATACTTGAACATAGATTTATGACCAGTCATACTACAGCACAAAGCACATGTATGTAGGTGGGCCCGGGAATATGTCTGATAGTTGTAGCCTTCCATTCCTGTAATCAAGCAGAATCACTTAAGTGCTTTCATCCACAACATAGGTGCAGGAACCTAACTGACACAAACTGAGGTTCTGCTGGGGACAGACATATCTCCCTACCCATGAGTGTCATCAGCTTGCTCTTCAGCTGAGACTCCAGTCTGGCAATCATCAGCTCCACAGCATTGCGGATCTCCCGCACTCTCTCATCTTTGGCATTCTTCACACTCTCGATATTCCGCTCCTACAACAAGATTGATGATGTACATAAAACCTGTGTGTGAACTGTTGTTAAGCATACCTAAGGGACCCAACTCTGGAAAGTGAATTGTGGAACCTTAGACTGCGCGCTACTCAATTTGCTCTTAGTCAGTACTGTTATATGCTGCTTTAGCAAAATTCCAGCAATATCATGGCAGATGACACAAGAAATGAGCTTCACACACATACGCATGTCGGGAATCTAACCCAAATTTTGAGCGGATGCTTTAACCACCTGGCTACGCCCCACCCCTATTTGCTCTGGACATCTATGGTTACCAGGGGCCTATATAAACGCAAATACAACTTGAATGATGAAACAGATATTAGGTTATGGTATCAGGAGAATAGAAAGTATGGACCAATGAATCTGGTGGTTCACATTATGAGCATCGATCTATGCAAATGAGGTGAGGGGAAAGTGGGTTTAACGTCATGCTTAAGAATATTTCGCTCATATGACACGTGCATGCGTGTGTATGTGTATGTGCGGCTGCTTGTACTAGCCCAGACTGAAGCTGGTTTTATAGTGCTAACCCACTGAGATACCATGCCGCAGTGAAGCACGAATACACCACTCAGACACATTATACTGACTCCGAGCCGACCAGTCCTTGTTGTACCCATTAATGCTGAGCGCCAGGCAGGGACCAACAAGTACCATATTTTAACGTCTTTTGGTATGACGCGGCCGGGGATTGAACTCGCGACCTTCCGCCTATGCATATGAGATACAGTGACATGCATCTACCAGTTCAGTGCAGCCTGACCATCTAATCCAATTAGTTGGCTTTTACAACACTGGGAGCTTTTACAACACGGGGCGCTTCACTAGTGGGACAGTAGAAGCAGAAATCAGCACATACCACATCCTGCACAAGGCTGATGAGCTCCACATGTTTCCGTCTCAACTGGGTCATGTCCATGGTGATTTTCTTGACATGTTCCTCGTACACCGAGTCCAGCGGCTTGAATGTGTGACCTGAATGCTGGATAACAGGACACAATAATGACATACCCATCTTTTGCTCCAATATAAATACCTCTGAGCATGAAAACCTTAAGACACGTCTAAACATGTTTGCGCCAGGTGAACTTTCTTATCAGCCAATAAATTCGAACAAACCTTGAAATTCTTTTTTAAAACCTTTGGCGCACTCTGCCTAGTGGACGTGACTTCTACTCTCTCAAACATAAAGCATACATGTGCATATTTTACCCACCTGTCAAGGAACCATGGTATCTACCCAGAAAAGACAAAAACATTGAAGAATTATTGTGTCCTGAGTTTGTTTTGTTTTGTTAAATTAAATTTCCCAAATGAGGTGAGTGAAGAATTTAAACTGATTCACTTTATGTCTGTTTGGCTCAAGAAGGTGGAGTCCAGGTGCTGAAGTCAACGATCTGATTTTATTGACAGTGCAACAATATTACTATGGTAAAGGAAAGTTTGGACCAATTACAGGATCAATATGGGCGTCATAGGAGATCAATTCAGGAAAGCTGGGAGTGCTTTTGGAAATCAATAGGAGAGTCACTAGGCTAAGTGGGAGTGCCTTTGGGATCTGTTTTGAGGTACAGAGTTCAAGGGGACAATGGGAGTGGGACTGGGTCTCAATGAAAAAGCCACGAAAGGAGTGTGAGTGTAGTGTGGGGATCAGACAAGGTGCTGGAGGGGGAGGGGAGGGAGGAGGGGTTGGGTAATGCGGGAACAGTGGGAAAGCAAGTTATGGTGGTGGCGATGTTGGGGGGTCAATGTCAATAGGAGAATTTTAAGGATCTTGGGAGTGCTGTCGGGACTCAGAGAGCTGGGTGGAGCGCATTGCGAGTGCTTTTGGGGTTAAAAGGCAAAGCAAGGTGGAATGCATTGCGAGTGCTTTTGGAGTCAAAGGGCAAAAGTGTTAACAGGTGTTTTGGGGCTCAGCTGGAGAGAATGGAGTATGAATTATATTGTTTTGCAGGGGATCAGAGGGACAGCAATGGGAAAACACTGTTCAGAACATAAAGAGTGCAGAGTCGGTCGGGGTCAAGGGATTAATCTGTGCTTACCGTTCCACCCCAGAGGGCACACTGATGGCAGATACAGATCTTGCATGTCCAGCAGTACACAGTCACCTTTTCCTGGTGCTCTTCACAGCTGCAAAGACAACAAAGTTCAACCTCAGCAACCAGTTCATCAAGCCACTTAATAAGTATGGTTTTACACCACGTTTAGCAATATTCCAGCAATATATCAATGAGGGACACCAGAAATGGGCTTCACACCAATGTGGGGAATCGAACTCAGGTCTTCAGCATGATGAGCGAACGCTATAACCACTAGGCTGCCCCACCGTCCCCAACCTAATAAGACAAATGTCATCTTGAAGTGTTGGTGATTTAAATAGTTACCAGCCAGAAGGCCAAAATGTGCCATAACAGACTTCCTTCTTTTTCCACTTAACAGAACAATTAAGACACTTAACTACAGATCAGCATTACTGAGATCGTGATCATAAACATAGAGCACTCATCACAAGATTCCTGTGACATTAACATCTGGCCATTATCTAAATGCCAGTCACAACAAAATTTCATAGACTTTACTTGACCAAATCTACAAAAAGGAGTTCACCCAGGCCAACAGCCATGCTGTAAAAATTGACTGCCTGACACTTTGGATATTTTAAGCATAGCTGCAAGAACTTACTCTTGCCTGTTTTTCATGAACTGACTTTAAGAATATATTCAAATTGAGAGAGAAACAAAACAATGAATTCTGACAGCTTTTTCAAAAACTGGTATAGTTTGCACAGTATTATTATCAGTGTGAAAGTGTTTCACTGAGGACAATTTCACTAAGCATCAAAACTTTCACTGACAATAAAGCAGAAATAATCAATTCCATGTTTTTTATATTTTACTTGTGCATGATGATCAAATTCCATTGTTATAGCAAAAAAGATGTAAACATTATGAAATTGGAAGATTCAGCATGGCAGTAATGAATACAGAGAAACCAGATCTGGAAGCTTCTGTTTTGGTCAACTCTTTAGAATGAATTGTCTCCCCTTGATAGCCTTCACTTACTGATCCTTCTCCACGTTGTCTGTGCGAGGGGGCGGGGCACAGTGCTGCAAGGTGTCCAGCTGTTGGGTCACCTCCTCAGCCCACCTGCAGTTGACCAGCTCATGGAGGTGCAATGATGCTCTGGAAACATGGATGACAATTTAGACACTTCTATAAACATTCATGTAGATCATTGTTAGCAGATATCTACAAGATCTGTGATCTTACACATCAATGCCAAAGGCAAAATACTGAAAATGTATAAGCTACAGACAGCAATCTTAGAATTTATGCCAGAAAACAAATGATCTACAAAAGTACTATTTTGGCTCAAACAGACCTGCAGTGTGGGCACTGGGACCGTTGCTCTGTCAGCCATCTCTGCGGAGAGACAAACACATTGTTAGTTCATGACGGTTTCATCACAATGCCTTTAGAGTAGGATCACTTAGAATTGTCATTTCAGACAAAATACTGAACTACATTAAGTCGCTCTTTAACAAACTTATCATGTGCAATTTTCAAATTTCAACTTTGCTTATCCAACTGTTACAGATTTGGGACCCAAAACTTCACGAAACAAAATCAAAAACCAGTTTTAAATATTTCTTTAGTATTTTCACCATATGTTTTTTCTCCTTATATGGGAGAAGCACTAAAGCTTGGAATAGTGAGGACACAGGAGTTACCTACCCTTATACAGGACACGCATCAAAGCTTGGAATAGTGAGGACACAGGAGTTACCTACCCTTATACAGGACACGCATCAAAGATTGGAATAGTGAGGACACAGGAGTTACCTACCCTTATACAGGACACGCATCAAAGATTGGAATAGTGAGGACACAGGAGTTACCTACCCTTAAACAGGACACGCATCAAAGATTGGAATAGTGAGGACACAGGAGTTACCTACCCTTAAACTGGACACGCATCAAAGATTGGAATAGTGAGGACACAGGAGTTACCTACCCTTATACAGGACACGCATCAAAGATTGGAATAGTGAGGACACAGGAGTTACCTACCCTTATACAGGACAGCATCAAAGATTGGAATAGTGAGGACACAGGAGTTACCTACCCTTAAACAGGACCATCAAAGATTGGAATAGTGAGGACACAGGAGTTACCTACCCTTAAACAGGACACGCATCAAAGATTGGAATAGTGAGGACACAGGAGTTACCTACCCTTATACAGGACACGCATCAAAGATTGGAATAGTGAGGACACAGGAGTTACCTACCCTTATACAGGACACGCATCAAAGATTGGAATAGTGAGGACACAGGAGTTACCTACCCTTAAACAGGACACGCATCAAAGATTGGAATAGTGAGGACACAGGAGTTACCTACCCTTATACAGGACACGCATCAAAGATTGGAACAGTGAGGACACAGGAGTTACCTACCCTTATACAGGACACGCATCAAAGATTGGAATAGTGAGGACACAGGACTGACTGACTGAGTTTGGTTTTACGCCGCTTTTAGCAATATTCCAGCAACATCACGGCAGGGGACACCAGAAATGGGCTTCACACATTGTACCCACTTGAGGACACAGGAGTTACCTACCCTTATACAGGAGAAGCAGCACATCTTGGAGCAGTGGGGACATAGGAGTTACCTACCCTTATACAGGAGAAGCAGCACATCTTGGAGCAGTGAGGACACAGGAGTTATCTACCCTTATACAAGAAAAGCAGCACAACTTGGAGCAGTGAGGACACAGGAGTTATCTACCCTTATACAGGAGAAGCAGCACAGCTTGGAACAGTGAGGACACATGAGTTATCTACCCTTATACAGGAGAAGCAGCACAACTTGGAGCAGTGAGGACAAAGGGGTTACCTACCCTTATACAGGAGAAGCAGCACAACTTGGAGCAGTGATGACACAGGAGTTATCTACTCTTATACAGGAGAAGCAGCACAGCTTAGAACAGTGAGGACACAGGAGTTATCTACCCTTATACAGGAGAAGCAGCACAACTTGGAGCAGTGAGGACACAGGAGTTATCTACCCTTATACAGGAGAAGCAGCACAGCTTGGAGCAGTGAGGACACAGGAGTTATCTACCCTTATACAGGAGAAGCAGCACAGCTTGGAACAGTGAGGACACAGGAGTTACCTACCCTTATACAGGACACGCATCAAAGATTGGAATAGTGAGGACACAGGAGTTACCTACCCTTATACAGGACACGCATCAAAGATTGGAATAGTGAGGACACAGGAGTTACCTACCCTTATACAGGACACGCATCAAAGATTGGAATAGTGAGGACACAGGAGTTACCTACCCTTATACAGGACGCATCAAAGATTGGAATAGTGAGGACACAGGAGTTACCTACCCTTAAACAGGACAGCATCAAAGATTGGAATAGTGAGGACACAGGAGTTACCTACCCTTATACAGGACACGCATCAAAGATTGGAATAGTGAGGACACAGGAGTTACCTACCCTTATACAGGACACGCATCAAAGATTGGAATAGTGAGGACACAGGAGTTACCTACCCTTATACAGGACACATCAAAGATTGGAATAGTGAGGGACACAGGAGTTACCTACCCCTTAAACAGGACACTCACCAAAGATTGGAATAGTGAGGACACAGGAGTTACCTACCCTTATACAGGACACGCATCAAAGATTGGAATAGTGAGGACACAGGAGTTACCTACCCTTATACAGGACACGCATCAAAGATTGGAATAGTGAGGACACAGGAGTTACCTACCCTTATACAGGACACGCATCAAAGATTGGAACAGTGAGGACACAGGAGTTACCTACCCTTATACAGGACACGCATCAAAGATTGGAATAGTGAGGACACAGGACTGACTGACTGAGTTTGGTTTTACCCCGCTTTTAGCAATATTCCAGCAACATCACGGCGGGGGACACCAGAAATGGGCTTCACACATTGTACCCACGTGAGGACACAGGAGTTACCTACCCTTATACAGGAGAAGCAGCACAGCTTGGAGCAGTGGGGACATAGGAGTTACCTACCCTTATACAGGAGAAGCAGCACATCTTGGAGCAGTGAGAGAACAGGAGTTATCTACCCTTATACAGGAGAAGCAGCACAGCTTGGAGCAGTGAGGACACAGGAGTTATCTACCCTTATACAAGAAAAGCAGCACAACTTGGAGCAGTGAGGACACAGGAGTTATCTACCCTTATACAGGAGAAGCAGCACAGCTTGGAACAGTGAGGACACATGAGTTATCTACCCTTATACAGGAGAAGCAGCACAACTTAGAGCAGTGAGGACACAGGGGTTACCTACCCTTATACAGGAGAAGCAGCACAACTTGGAGCAGTGATGACACAGGAGTTATCTACTCTTATACAGGAAAAGCAGCACAGCTTAGAACAGTGAGGACTCAGGAGTTATCTACCCTTATACAGGAGAAGCAGCACAACTTGGAGCAGTGAGGACACAGGAGTTATCTACCCTTATACAGGAGAAGCAGCACAGCTTGGAGCAGTGAGGACACAGGAGTTATCTACCCTTATACAGAAGCAGCACAGCTTAGAACAGTGAGGACACATGAGTTATCTACCCTTATACAGGAGAAGCAGCACAGCTTGGAACAGTGAGGACACAGGAGTTATCTACCCTTATACAGGAGAAGCAGCACAGCTTGGAACAGTGAGGACACAGGAGTTACCTACCCTTAAACAGGACACGCATCAAAGATTGGAATAGTGAGGACACAGGAGTTACCTACCCTTATACAGGACACGCATCAAAGATTGGAATAGTGAGGACACAGGAGTTACCTACCCTTATACAGGACACGCATCAAAGATTGGAATAGTGAGGACACAGGAGTTACCTACCCTTATACAGGACACGCATCAAAGATTGGAATAGTGAGGACACAGGAGTTACCTACCCTTATACAGGACACGCATCAAAGATTGGAATAGTGAGGACACAGGAGTTACCTACCCTTAAACAGGACACTCACCAAAGATTGGAATAGTGAGGACACAGGAGTTACCTACCCTTATACAGGACACGCATCAAAGATTGGAATAGTGAGGACACAGGAGTTACCTACCCTTATACAGGACACGCATCAAAGATTGGAATAGTGAGGACACAGGAGTTACCTACCCTTAAACAGGACACTCACCAAAGATTGGAATAGTGAGGACACAGGAGTTACCTACCCTTATACAGGACACGCATCAAAGATTGGAATAGTGAGGACACAGGAGTTACCTACCCTTATACAGGACACGCATCAAAGATTGGAATAGTGAGGACACAGGACTGACTGACTGAGTTTGGTTTTACGCCGCTTTTAGCAATATTCCAGCAACATCACGGCGGGGGACACCAGAAATGGGCTTCACACATTGTACCCCGTGAGGACACAGGAGTTACCTACCCTTATACAGGAGAAGCAGCACAGCTTGGAGCAGTGGGGACATAGGAGTTACCTACCCTTATACAGGAGAAGCAGCACATCTTGGAGCAGTGAGAGAACAGGAGTTATCTACCCTTATACAGGAGAAGCAGCACAGCTTGGAGCAGTGAGGACACAGGAGTTATCTACCCTTATACAAGAAAAGCAGCACAACTTGGAGCAGTGAGGACACAGGAGTTATCTACCCTTATACAGAAGCAGCACAGCTTAGAACAGTGAGGACACATGAGTTATCTACCCTTATACAGGAGAAGCAGCACAGCTTGGAACAGTGAGGACACAGGAGTTATCTACTCTTATACAGGAGAAGCAGCACAGCTTGGAACAGTGAGGACACAGGAGTTATCTACCCTTATACAGGAGAAGCAGCACAACTTGGAGCAGTGAGAACACAGGAGTTATCTACCCTTATACAGGAGAAGCAGCACAGCTTGGAGCAGTGAGGACACAGGAGTTATCTACCCTTATACAGGAGAAGCAGCACAGCTTGGAACAGTGAGGACACAGGAGATATCTACCCTTATACAGGAGAAGCAGCACAGCTTGGAGCAGTGAGGACACAGGAGTTACCTACCCTTATACCAGAGAAGCAGCACAACTTGGAGCATTGAGGACACAGGGGTTACCTACCCTTATACAGGAGAAGCAGCACAACTTGGAGCAGTGGGGACACAGGGGTTACCTACCCTTATACAGGAGAAGCAGCACAGCTTGGAGCAGTGAGGACACAGGGGTTACCTTCCCTTATACAGGAGAAGCAGCACAGCTTGGAGCATTGAGGACACAGGGGTTACCTACCCTTATACAGGAGAAACAGCACAACGTGGAGCAGTGGGGACACAGGGGTTACCTACCCTTATACAGGAGAAGCAGCACAACTTGGAGGATTGAGGACACAGGGGTTACCTTCCCTTATACAGGAGAAGCAGCACAGCTTGGAGCAGTGAGGACACAGGGGTTACCTACCCTTATACAGGAGAAGCAGCACAACTTGGAGCAGTGGGGACACAGGGGTTACCTTCCCTTATACAGGAGAAGCAGCACAGCTTGGAGCAGTGAGGACACAGGGGTTACCTACCCTTATACAGGAGAAGCAGCACAAATTGGAGCAGTGAGGACACAGGAGTTACCTACCCTTATACAAGAGAAGCAGCACAACTTGGAGCAGTGAGAGAACAGGGGTTACCTACCCTTATACAGGAGAAGCAGCACAACTTGGAGCAGTGAGAAAACAGGGGTTACCTACCCTTATACAGGAGAAGCAGCACAGCTTGGAGCAGTGAGGACACAGGGGTTACCTACCCTTATACAGGAGAAGCAGCACAGTTTGGAGCAGTGGGGACACAGGAGTTACCTACCCTTATACAGGAGAAGCAGCACAACTTGGAGCAGTGAGGACACAGGGGTTACCTACTCTTATACAGGAGAAGCAGCACAACTTGGAGCAGTGAGGACATAGGAGTTATCTACCCTTATACCAGAGAAGCAGCACAGCTTGGAGCAGTGGGGACACAGGAGTTTCCTACCCTTATACAGGAGAAGCAGCACAACTTGGAGCATTGAGGACACAGGGGTTACCTACCCTTATACCAGAGAAGCAGCACAGCTTGGAGCAGTGGGGACATAGGAGTTACCTACCCTTATACAGGAGAAGCAGCACAGCTTGGAGCAGTGAGGACACAGCAGTTATCTACCCTTATACAGGAGAAGCAGCACAGCTTGGAGCAGTGGGGACACAGGAGTTACCTACCCTTATACAGGAGAAGCAGCACAACTTGGAGCATCGAGGACACAGGGGTTACCTACCCTTATACCAGAGAAGAAGCACAGCTTGGAGCAGTGGGGACACAGGAGTTACCTACCCTTATACAGGAGAAGCTGCACAGCTTGGAGCAGTGAGGACACAGGGGTTACCTTCCCTTATACAGGAGAAGCAGCACAGCTTGGAGCAGTGAGGACACAGGGGTTACCTACCCTTATACAGGAGAAGCAGCACAACTTGGAGCAGTGAGGACACAGGGGTTACCTACCCTTATACAGGAGAAGCAGCACAACTTGGAGCAGTGAGGACACAGGAGTTACCTACCCTTATACAGGAGAAGCAGCACAACTTGGAGCAGTGAGGACACAGGAGTTACCTACCCTTATACACGAGAAGCAGCACAACTTGGAGCAGTGAGAGAACAGGAGTTACCTACCCTTATACAGGAGAAGCAGCACAGCTTGGAGCAGTGAGGACACAGGAGTTACCTACCCTTATACAGGAGAAGCAGCACAGCTTGGAGCAGTGAGGACACAGGGGTTACCTTCCCTTATACAGGAGAAGCAGCACAGCTTGGAGCAGTGAGGACACAGGGGTTACCTACCCTTATACAGGAGAAGCAGCACAGCTTGGAGCAGTGAGGACACAGGGGTTACCTTCCCTTATACAGGAGAAGCAGCACAGCTTGGAGCATTGAGGACACAGGGGTTACCTACCCTTATACAGGAGAAGCAGCACAGCTTGGAGCATTGAGGACACAGAGGTTACCTACCCTTATACCAGAGAAGCAGCACAACTTGGAGCAGTGGGGACACAGGAGTTACCTACCCTTATACAGGAGAATCAGCACAGCTTGGAGCAGTGAGGACATAGGAGTTACCTACCCTTATACAGGAGAAGCAGCACAGCTTGGAGCATTGAGGACAGGAGTTACCTACCCTTATTCAGGAGAAGCAGCACAGCTTGGATCAGTGAGGACAGGAGTTACCTACCCTTATACAGGAGAAGCAGCACAGCTTGGAGCATTGAGGACAGGAGTTACTTACCCTTATTCAGGAGAAGCAGCACAGCTTGGATCAGTGAGGACAGGAGTTACCTACCCTTTTTCAGGAGAAGCAGCACAGCTTGGAACAGTGAGGACACAGGAGTTACCTACCCTTATACAGGAGAAGCAGCACAGCTTGGAGCAGTGAGGACAGGAGTTACCTACCCTTATACAGGAGAAGCAGCACCCTTTGGAGCAGTGAGGACATAGGAGTTACCTACCCTTATACAAGAGAAGCAGCACCCTTTGGAGCAGTGAGGACACAGGAGCTACCTACCCTTATACAGGAGAAGCAGCAGAGCTTGGAGCAGTGAGGGCAGAGGCGGGCATCCCGCAGCTTTTCCATACAGATGAAACATCGGAACACCTCCGCCAGGCTCTGTTTAAATAAATTAAGAATGTATGAGTAAACATTATTCATTATCAGGTCAAATATGAGACTTCCACCTACACTAGTACAGTCAGCATAAATACCTGTGGTTCAGGGATAACACAACTACTGGCACTAATCTGTTCAGTTTCACACTGGTTATATTGATATTCCATTAACATCATGCAGACTCCAAGAATGGTAACCATGGCAACCCTGTAACCATGTGTAGAACCAAACCTGGATCATGCATGACTCAATTCATAACTAGCATGATCAGTATAATCATCACAATTCCACAATGGATAACAAAATCAAAGTACCTATACTAAAAACATTCTATTTGTCATATTGTCATACTTTTATTTAAATTTCATGAATGTCTGACATTATTTAGCATCACAGGAAAATCATACAAAGCCAAACATGCAAAAGCACAACATCAGCAGGTACCAAGCTATTGTATTTATAGTTTATATTCAACATAAGTTAGTGGCGATGAAGCTGATACCTGACTTGAATATTCTTGTCAATCTCTCACATAAATAATAAACAATAAAACATACAAATTATTTGTTGTTTCTTTGCTTAACGCTGCACTCTGCAACTTGCTAGCTGTTTGACGGAGGTATGTAAATAATCGAGACTCAACCAGACAATCCAGTGATTGACATAATAGGCATTGATCAATTGACATGCATCAACCCAGTCAGTGAGTCTGACCACCATACCCGGTCTGCCATCTCTTATGACAAGCATTGGGTGCGGAAGGCCAATCCAAACGAATCTTACCATGCGATATATTTATTGTGGAAGTTGTAGGAACATCAACCCACCAGGCTACCCCAGTGTCCTACAACTGGTTTAGTTTTGTACACACAAACAGCTGGGGAGACTATGCTGAGGCAGTTATTCTCGGTAATGCTCACTGTGCATATATTAACTTCATATTTACTGCTGTTGGTAATTCTCACGCAGAATAGTAATTTATTCTTCATGCTAATTCATGGTATTTCCTTTTTTGTAACTGTGGAGCAGGACTACATGTCAGTTAGATATATACTCTTCACAATTTGCTAAGGATAAAATCATTGATTCAACAGAAAACTATATTGTGGGGTCTAATTTGGTTTAAATATCTAAGCCTATTGTATTTGTAAGCATGGATCCTAGGTTTTAGTATGTCATTGCATCTTGTAGATCCCATACCTGCTATTGACAGGTGTTGTGTACTTGTCAGTGACTTGTTCCATGATTTGGACGATGGTTGATTGGTGCCATGAAAACAATGTTTATGGTTACTCATGTATCAAGTGCATAAGGTTAGATTAAAGTGGCTGTTTGCCTAAAGATGTGTTACCATATCATTATTTATCCAGTTTTAAATGGATACAATTTCAAATTAGAAATCTACGTTTAAGTAAAGCTGGGACTTTTTGTGATCCTTAGCAAAGTGTGAGTAGTATAGATCATAGAGATTGATGATCATTTACTTAATATTGATCAATTGTCAATAAACATCAGAGAAGTAACAGAGAGAAATGCTGAAAATATGGACCTGAAGAAATCAACATTGTTTACATTACTAACAAAACAGCATTATCAGAGCTCCAGATAAGAATTAGGTCATGAGGGTACTGTACCCACTGTATTTTTTTGGAGTGGGTATTATGAATGTTGAGTGGGTATTTCATTTTCCGTTATCCACTGCTTTCAAATATGTGCGTATTTCAGTCATTTCACTCACCTAAGTATTATGTCATTGATTAAGTTTACTAAGCAGGTATGTTCTGCCTCATGTCATACCTAATCAAAACCAACTTAAATATAATGGAAATGACTTCATAAAAAATCACTCATCCTATACTGACAGTACAACACTTGTCCTATACTAACAGTACAACTTGATAGCAATCGATGTCTTTTTCATTACGCAAGCGATTTTTATAAATATACACTGTACGCATTTGTTTTAAACTTTTTGCGTATCTAACATTTTAAATGCATAAATGGTACGCAACAATTATTTTTTCAATGCGTAATTGGAAATTTTCTATGCGTATTTTACCCGGATACGCAGCTTATCTGGGCCTCTGATTATGAACATAAATTTGAAGTGGCCCGTGAAGTGACTACAACCAAATCATGAGCTGCATATATACACCACATGTTGTGACAGCAACAGATTAACATAAAGACTGTTGATAACAAGTAAAATATATACCATATAAAACTCATTTTATCATTTGGAGATGAATGCGTTTAGGGTTTGAGGTGAGGTGAGGTGAGGTGAGGTGAAATTGGGTTTAACGTCGTGCTTGAGAATATTTCGCTCATATGACGACGCAGCATGCGTGTGTATGTGTATGTGCGGCTGCTTGTACTAGCCCAGACTGAAGCTGGTTTTATAGTGCCACCCCACTGAGATACCATGCCGCAGTGAAGCATGAATACCCCACTCAGACACATTATACTGACTCTGAGCCGACCAGTCCTTGTTGTACCCATTAATGCCGAGCGCCAGGCAGGGACCAACAAGTACCATATTTTAACATCTTTTGGTATGACGCGGTCAGGGATCGAACCCGTGACCTTCCGCTCTCCGGGCGGACGCTCTAACCACTACACCACGGAGGCGGTCGCGTTTAGGGTTCGATGCCAGGCTGAGCAATATTTAGCAACTATGTCTTGTGATTAATCAAGAGTGAACCAGACAGCCCAGTGATACTAAAGACAACCATTATGGCATCAAACTAGCCAGACCACTTATCCATCAAGTTGTCTTTCACAACAGCCTTGCTTGTTGTTGTTTGTTGTTTAAAGCCGCACTCAGCCATATTCCAGATATATGGCAGCGGTCTGTAAATAATGAAGTCTGGATCTGACAATCCAGTGATCAACATCATGAGCATCGACCTATGCAATTGGGATACGATGACATGTGTCAACCAAGTCACAGAGCCTGACCACAGTATTAGTCAATAAGAATGGGTTGCTGAAGATCAATTTAAACCTGGATCTTCATGGGTAATAAGGAACATCGATTGATGAACATTGATTGGAAGTATTTGGAATTGAGACTAATCTATACTAGCCACATAAAGAAACTGTGCACACAGAAAATTCCTTCAGAATTGGAATACAACACAGAAAAGACGAAATGATGTGGACACTTTATAAGCTGAAGTATCGGGCCACAACAACATGTCAAAAGAACATGAACAATATCCGAAACGATGACGTCAGATGTTCAAAATTGAGTAGGGGTCACACGTCGAAGTCACAAAATCAATAACGGGTATGACCATCATGCGCGTTAAGCACAGCAGTGCATCGACGACGCATACAGGCTACCAAATGAGCATTGAAGGCCTGGGGAATGGTTTGGGACGTGGTCACTGCCGTCTGGAACCTGTGTCTGAGATGAGTCATCCGAATCCATCTGTCCTGTCTTGGCGTCGTTACTCGGGGACGCCCAGAACGTGGGTGGTCGGCAAATCATTACTGTTTCCATAACGCTTGACCAATGCAGATATTGTGTTACTATGACATTGGAAATGTGCTGCCACCTGTTGTTGGCTCATGCCTGCTCGAACCATTCCAATGGCTTCATGACGTTGAGCACATGGTAATCTTGGCATGATGTGCATGTGACTTCTCATGTGAATTTGTGAACGTTTGAATGACCAAAGATCAAGCTTTCGACAGTGACATCAATTTCTGAGTTTCACATGTTGTGTGCAGCTGCACAGGCTGCAGGTGCAGTAACACATTGCAAGTCCATAGGCCACCATCAATGACGTCACGTCACCTGGCACCTGCATGGGCGTTTGATTGTCTCCAATATTTGTTATGTTCAGACCTTTGTTTCTGTATAAAGACGCTGTCTGCCTATCTTTATATTTTCTGTGTGCACAGTTTCTTTATGTGGCCAGTATATGTAAATCCTCCATCAGTCAGTAATACTGTTAAATGCTTCATAGAAAATTATCACCACTTTGCATCCGGTAAATCCCTTCATGATGTCTCAAGAACAAAGAATCCATTCATCCCAGCATCAAGAGAACTCTTGTGTTCTTCAAGATAATTTCTGTACTTTTTAGGAAATAGTGCGAGCGAGTAATCTTAGTTTAGCAATAGATTCCAGGAATTCGTGAGGGCACCAGAAATGGCTTTTACACAAAGTACCCATGTGAGGAATCGAACCAAGGTCTTCGGCAGGACACGCAAACACTTTAACCACTAGGCTACCTCACCGCCCCTTTAAGGAAATAGAATAGATCAGAAATCATCAAATAGCGAATGACATCATAACAAAGTTATACACACAAATAAATCCTCTTTTCCTAACACTGAATGAGCTACTAACCACAGCTAACCAGGATCAGGTCACAAGCTGCAGAATGCAGAATACCAAAAAAACCCAAAATATTTCTAGTTTAGCATGTCATCCCAAAAAGTCTCAAATCAGCAAATATTCCAAATCAGGCAACCATAATCAATCAAAAAACTATATTTACGCTGCACAAATCACGAATCCATTGAAAAATATTTGAACCTTTACAAACACAGCTCAAATCATGACAGTCTAATTCTGGGAGGCAGGGCAGTGGGGAAGCAGTTTATATGCTTTGGTGATCAACAAATTGTGCAATCCTCCTTTTCACAAAAGTCTGCCCTCCGATCAATATCTCTTATTTGATTTACAACCAAAGCCAAAAGTGGAGCTCAACAGTTGAGCGATTCTTTGATTTTCCTGGTAGGGTAGAGACTTTGTAAATTGACACAGCTCGAACATCCAGACATGAAATTGGGAGGATTCCTCCAATCTCGGAATTACCCCTTTGTCCAAACATGATGAATTAAATTTTACTTTCTTTGACAGTGATGGCTGGTCTCTTAGAGAAATGGTAATTGGATGTTTATTTTGGGACCTAGAATATATCGTAGTTAACATATCAACTTTTGAATGGCGCCAATTACTCGTTTGAATAGGAATAGGCTAGCTT